ATATATATATATATAATTTCATTTATTTTGCATTCAATCTGTTTTTTGTTTTATTTTTTTGCTTTGCTATTTTAAATATAACAAATAATGTTTAAACTGATTTGCCTTTTAATTAGATGTTCTCAATTATGAATCCCCTCTTGGGCGAGAACAAACTGTAGCCACTGGAAAGAGTACAGGTAACTATGACAGACTATTAGCCATGACAGCAGACTGTTAGTCTCATCTAATGGGATTTTTCCATGTCTAGCGTTTGACTTGCCCCTTTAGACCTTTGCAGCCATTCTAGACTCTCGTGTGTCCCCTGGAAATATTTTCTCCATTTGTTAGGTTGGAAAATACACTAGAAGGTTTAAGATGCCCTGGTCGCTTGTCTTGTACATCTTCTATGGGAATGTATAGGGGACTTGCTGCCAACATAGCACATGTAGTATTAAAGCATTGAATGTTCTTGTTGCATTGAATGAGGTTGAGCTTTTCTTTTCCATGTAAATCTGGGCAGCTAGGCTATGTATATGGAAACGACATGTTTACACCATGTACAATATTTTTAGGTTTCTTTTTTCAATATTCATCCATAGCTAACCCCCAAGTCTCGCCTGTTCATGCTCTTACCAGATACACCTTGTTCAGCTCGCAGGGAGCTACACGGTCACTACTGCAAACTCTCTGGCCAGTCCCTCACTACTTTTGCATGCGCAGAAATCTTTTCTTTCATACCTGTGGAGAGGACATCTATTTCATTGCAAAGCATAATAGATTGCCTCTCTGTGTAAATGAAAGGGGATTTTGCCTGCACATGCACAGAAGGACTGGAGAGTTTGCAGTGGCATATGTGGGTGTCTGCAGCTACATATAATGTACATTTCTTTCTCCTACATTGGAGGGACATAAGAAGTATTTCACCTTCAGGTTATACTCCTGCCTACAAGCGTATAGGACACTGGCAAACAAAAAAAACAAAACTGTAGGCTAGCCCAGGGTAACCCCTCCTGCTATCATCTGCCGGGAAAAGTCTAACCTACTTCTCTCTTCCATTCATTGGAGGACACAGTGGAGATCTTGATCTCTAACCACACGGTGGCGCTATAAACCCTGTGGTTAGAGATCAAGATCTCCACTGTGTCCTTCAACGAACTCGGAGAAAAAGATTTTATGGAGAGTACAATAAAATCTTATTTTTGTTAATGCTTCTAGTTAAAAATGTTAGTACATTTTACTGGTTATTCGGTATGTTGAATGTAGTAACTGATTTCATGAAATTATTCTACCACATTATTTAGATGCTACAGATTGTGAGGACGTTCAGAGCAATGTTTCATGTTTTTGATTTGCTTGTCATATGTGTAGACTTAAAGCGCATAGAACAGTCTTGCAGTGTCCTTTCCCCAATGCATGGGTAAATGCTTATGTCTAGGGGTACAGGAATAGGGTGTTTAACTTTTCTCCTCACTTCTGTGACACCCCCCCCCCTTTTATTATTCATTTTTTTTTTTTATGCTCTGAATTGTGGGTGGGTCCTTCCTGTCATCATGTAAAATGCATAACTATTGGTTCTGGCTTGTACTTGATGATGTCAGAATGGGTCCACCAGCAAGAGCGTCCCAGAGACGAGGTTTTAGGGATTGTATGCAAAGATAGAGAGAGCCTTCCGGATAAGTATTACCCCTTATCCTATACTTGATGAGCATTTATCTAGCAGTAGGGGGGCAAGGACAATTTATTATATTTTTGCAGGCTGGTGTAGAGCATTCAGGATTGCAGATTTGACAATATTTGATTTTTTTTTTTCCCTTTTCAGTTGCATGTCAGACACAGCTGTCATTACCAGTTGATTTCAATCTGGAACGAATACTAGGCAAGTCCTGAGATTTATACTATCTTGGGTATCACGGCATTAAAGTACTTTTCTCTTTCACAGTCAGACCATTCCTCTGCATCAATGTAGTGACCATAAGATGACATTTTACAAGCATTCCTTTTTCTGCATCTGTTAATCTGATTAATTCTGTAACAAAAATAAATCAAATGTGTTTTTTTTTTTTTTACAATAGCTCTTATAAGCATTGACCAGTGTGTCCTTCAGAAATGTTTTTGTAAATTGATAGTGGGAAAGGATCACAACCCCAATCAAGTGTGATCTTTTTTTTACCCTGCTATCCAGAGAGATTTCCTTTATGGTCAGTGGCAATGGTTTTACCAGGCACAGTGAAAATCTGCAATAGGAACACAGACTGCAATACAAGTAACTGCCAAGGGTTGTTTTAGCCTTCCTGTACCCCAAACATGTGTGTTGTTTGGGTTTTTTTTGTTTTGTTCCTCAGTTCCTGCCTGGTAAAAAACCTGTTGTCATTGTGACAGTAGCTGATATGAAATCTCTCTAGTGGAGCTCCAAATAGAAGTTAAAGAAACTCAAAAGGGATTCTGATCCTACCCCACTCTATCAAAATATTAAATGTGTATGTCTAGCAAAAAAACATATTTTTTTACATTATTATTTTATATTTTCTTTTCCGTTTTTAAAGGCGAGTACTTTAAAACAGAAGAGCATGCAGATCAGTCTCAGGAAAGCTTAAGCTCCTCTTCACTTCGAAGAAAGCTGTTTTTGGATGGACAAGTCAGTGGATCAGAGTGTTCTTCTCCCTCCTCTCCGCCACCAGGCACCTATGATGCTCCCCCAGCACCTCTAGGAGTTCTCTGCTCCATAGATCTGTCTCCGGTCAGATGCAGAAGCCCTATGCAAACTCCCAGTTCGGTAATGATCTGTTAACATCATTTCTGTGTTAAAAGACCCTGGCCCTAAACCATTAATTTCAACAAACCACCCATAATTTGTGTCCCCACCCCCCATAAAGACCTCCCTTTGTGTCGTCGTTCAAAAGTCCTGAGACTGCTGCTGGGCTCTGCCATCTTGAATAAGTCAGCAGACTAGAGCACTCACTCAAGTTACTCTATAGTCTCTTTTTAAGCCTCATTCACGCAGGTTGTACACGTCCATGCACGTGCATGCCGTAAAGGGCCGATCCCAGGTGGGACAGGTGCTGCATGTGATTGCAGCCTGTTCTTCCCTATGGGAGGATGCGGCTGTACGCTGTCACCTGCACATCCGTGTGGGTACGGGTGTCCGCACTTGGACGCAGACAGGATGCATCCTGTCTGTTTCCAAGTGCGGACACCCGCATGGATGACAGCGTACAGCCGCGTCATCCCATAGGGAAGAACGGGCTGCTGCGTGTAATCGAACGCAGCACCTGTCCCTTCTGGGATCGGCCCGTTTTACAGGCGTGCACGTGTAAATGACACCTTACTCCTTCCCCAGCAGTCCCATAATAGGGAGGGGTGAGGAACCTTGGCCAGCACAGAGAGCAAACATAATTTATGGAAGCATTGCAAGTAAGCATATAAATAACTGATTTTTCTGGGCATTCCCCTTCAATGTTTTAGGTTGCTGACTCTAAACTTTCAGCATCCTACTTTCTTCCTGCGAAGCTCATGGTCTCTGCCATAGTGCAGTACTCCATAATTTCCATATCTTCTGAATATACATATTTGGGGTGTGTTTGTTGTGGTTTTTTTTTTCCATGCAATTATCCGTAAGATGTCTTGGTTTTGGAGCATGTAGTCTTGTGCATCAACACCTCTTTAAGATACATTTTTTTTTTAAATAATTTCTCTTTTTAGTGTATTTAAAATGGCTTGGTTTGGATGTTTGAGCAGCAAACTGTCTTTTTTACAGCTGAATTCCTGGCACATTTTATAATCACTATTTAATGCTATCGCCGGTCTATTAAAACTTTTTGTTTTTTTATTTACAGCTTTTGTAAGTACTTGATATGTTTTGCTATCCTCCTGTTGTAATCACATATATACAGCAGGATCTAGACAAGGAAAGGTTGACTCTAAGTGCTCTCCCTGTCAAATATGTGACTGTGCTTAGATAAAGTTTTTCTTTTGGGGGGGGGAAGTGAGACGGTTCACTAGGATGTATGTTAGTTTTGTATTTACCTTTTTGCCTGGAGTTCAGCTTTAAATTTAACAACATTAGACATAAGTAGTGATTTACAGTTTATTTACATTTACTAAATCTAATTTAAAGGGACAGTTTTCTTCAAGTCCAATTCAAGGTGGACGAAGAGCTTACAGTATTGGGAGTATAGCAAGCCCTACGTTCTTTGAAAAGTCACCTCCCAGAGATTTGTCACCAACCTTCTCCCCTATATCAACGTATAAAGGGAAGACCCCAATGGCTGGTAAGTATATGAAAGGGTTGGGATTATAAATGTGGTTTTAATAGACAGTTCACTCAAAACTGTTCCCTTTGCTGGGGAAAATTGAGACCAGGGTTGTTTTTTCTACTGCTTTGAGCTGCAGGTCTCTGCTGTTATGTGAATGGCAAACAAATGAATCTCCACTGAGAAGCATTTCTTCTACCAGGCCATTCCCTGTCTGCTGGGTCATGTCAACCATTTATTTCTAAGCTTGGAATCCCTATTCCTCAATGCAAACTGTATTGGGTTCTAAGATAGGAGTGGACACATGAAACTGAAATGGATCGATTTTTTTATCAGGCCTTACAGTCTACTGACATTTTCATCTGTCAGAAGAACTAAGTGTACTGTGTAGTTTGCTGGTTTACCTGGTTTAATATCATTTAAAGGGAAGGTTTATGTGGTAAACTAAGCGTTACCAGAGTGAACCCTGCAGGTACTTTACCTTACATTGCAGAAATTCTACCAGACGGAGTATGACCATTCACAATATAATGGCCATGGTTTTAAAACAACTTGGCTGTCACTTGCAGTCCCCTGACAGGATTGTGGGACCAATGGGAATCAAAGGTTGAGGTTTTAAAGAGCCTTTATTTCTCAAGGAAACCTGTGAGTCACTGACCTGGAACAGACATGGCTGGAGTTCAATGTTTTAGACTTCACTGGTGTTTTTTTTTTTTTCTCAGGTCAGTGATTTACCTTGCATACCTTTTTTGCATCCTCAGCTGTTGACATTTTAAACAGGAAATGTGAAGTGGATAAATGAGTACTTTATAAGGGAATGCCATTTAAATCTGCTACTTTTTTTTGTTATTGCAGAACAGAAGAAGCTATCATTTCCTTCCCCAGACACCCTCTCTGCTTCAAATTCCATGGTCAATTCATGTTCCAGAAGCCCTTTAATAGAAGGGTGCTCTCCAATCAAGAGCGTGTTTGACAGTGGTTCCCATACTTGCAGGGACAGTGCACAGTACCGGACTGTTATACCATTCTCCATTGAACATCTGGAGGAAGACAAAGAAAACTCCCATCCTGCACAAGTCTCATCACCTGATGGCAGTATTGTTCTACAGTTACATAACCTAGATACTTCTTTCCCTGATGCGCACGCCATGAACCAACTGAGCACTGTACAATCGGGAATATTTAAAGAAACTGCAGATAACTTGAAAGACAATGATACTGTAGAAATGGTGGATCCTGTGGAACTTGAAGATGATCACATGTGGGTTAAAGTTGCTACAGTAACAGACAACACTCCAGTGACTAGTTTTATGACTGGAAATACATTTAGTGTTGAAACCTCTCACATGTGCATGTCGCCTTTAGCGGAGAGCAGTGTCATTCCTTGTGACAGCAGCAGCATTCAGGTAAGGACATTCATTCTATCAGGAGGGAATTAAGCTACCTTCTGTAGACTCTTATTCTACTCCTTAGAGTCAACTCGCAGGTCGTGTTTCTCATTCATCTGGATCATTGCACTGTGTTGGTAAAGTTTTTTTTTTTTTTCAAAATGTACATGTAGTTCTATGAAAACATGGGAAAGTGCTTCTGGGCAGGTTTGGTATCAAAGGATACAGGTTTATGGGGATAGATGACTATTTGAACATGAATGCTAAAACCAGTGCACAGTTTAGGGTGTGCTTTCTATAAGCAGACTATTCTATGTCTCCTGATATGTTATGTGCCTATGTCACAACCTGTGAATTATAGCTGTAAAAACAACACAATCTAGCTACAAATTGTGACTGCTTTGGATGGCATCAGTGCTGTAACAATGTTTCCCCCAAGTGAAATTCAAGTAAACCTGTCCTATATTAAAATAAGTGAACAGTTGGCATAAGTAAAATCAGGCACTTCACTCTGGAAGCCTGAACATATTCTGAGGCCAGAGAATTTGGGGGAGGGGGTCCCTTCATACGTGCAGTTATGTAAACCCTTTCATCCAAGGCTATCAGTCCCAAGAATACCTTCAGAAATTGTACAGTTACCGATTGGTGATCTTTTAAAGGAGCAGTATTGGGAGAGTACTTGGGGTCGGTGTGGGAGACTGCAGCTGTCGCACACCAGGAGCTGAGCGGTCATGTAACTACTAAAAAGCTTAGCTCGTGACTTCTCCCTGCAGAGAACAGTGACTGCCAGTCATCACTCCCCGCAGGGATTCCCCACTCCATTCTTTCAGCACTGCTATATGCTGACTTTGGGTCATGGGAGTACATTAGTAAATGTACTCCTGTGATCCAAAAGAGAAGTAAAGCCAAAAAAAAGGTTTGGCTTTACTTCTCTTTTTATATTAAAAAAAAAACTACTGCTTGATGTTTTTCATGGACAAGAAAATGCAGAATATTACTGCCCATTGTAAAAGATTGCGCAGCACACTGTCACATTGAAACGCGTTTCATTCCAACGTGCACCGCTAGACTCTGTCTTTCAGCCCCCTCACCCCACTGGTCTGCCCCTACAACGCATTTCCACATATCGGGGCTTAGTCGTAGAGCCTCTGACTACGCCCTGGATAGGGCAAAAAGCTTTACAGGGGCAGACGAGGGGGGACTGAGTCTTAGCTGTGAAAGTTGGGGAAAAAAATGCTTTTCAACGTGCACGAGGTTGTGCAGCCGGATCCTTTTTGCACTGTGAAGGAGTATGTATCAGAGTGTGGTCAAGCTCAGGCGCCGGGCACCCGTTTAATCCCTGTTGTGTGTCCACGAGGGAGTGGCGTTATACCTCGATGGAGTGACAACTTTTTCAATAATCGATTATAATCGATAATGTCGATTAGTTGTTGCAGCCCTAGTGCACAGTATTCTTGGTCACTTTTATTGCTTGCTATTGTACTGGACTGATTTACCCAACGATTATACATCGCTGTGTGTGTGATTGTATGACTTATATGATTTTTGTGTGATTACAAAGGTGGACAGTGGCTATACTACACAAACTTGTGGATCCAGTTTAATGGATGGAATTGGTGGAGAAGGAGTGTACAAAGAAAATGATGTACAGTTTTCTGAAATTCAGAATGCATCTCAGCATGTCAAACCAAAGGTATGTAACACACACTCACACTATCTAAGCAAACCCCTGGCCCTAGGTGCTTATTCACTGCTTCCTAACAACCGCTGATTACTGCTTGGACCTAAAATCCTGTCCAGCACAGATTGTGCCTGCACACTAATTCCCTATACATGACAATGGGCCCATACTCCTACACTAAAGACACTGAAACTACAGATCTAGTCATGTTTACCTGAAGTTCTGCTTTAATCTGACCCCATGTTCCGATATCTAATGTGTAGCAGACTTAAAAAAAATAATAATGTGGGTGTAAAAGTTTGTAGGGATGGTCCGATACCACTTTTTTAAGACTGAGTACGTGTACCGATACTTTTTTCAAGTACTTGCCGATACCAATTACCGATACTTTTTCTTAAAGGGACAGGTCACATTTTTTCTAAAGCAATACAAAATGATTTTAGGTCAGTTTCTTAATATTATGAAGAACATGAAATGAATATTTATCATGCCATTGCTAACTAAGGCTTGTATCCCCACAGTGCGGAAAATAGATGAGCACATGTCCAGAACAGTGTATTATTGTATAGTGTGGCACAGCTATATCAAATGCTGCATACCTGGCTTTATATTATAAGAACTTTATAATATAAAGCCAGGTAATAATAAGACATTTGCACGAGTATTCATGCAAATACTCGGCATCGCCACCGATGCTTGTATCGGAGCATCCCTAAAAGTTTGTGTTCAAAAGTGTGTATATACACACACTTCTGTGACACTGATGTTGTCATATCTAATAGATTTCATAGAGCGTGCATGCTTGGTACATTTTGCTTGCCGTGTACTAGAGTAAAAAAACATTTCCTGCGTAACCTCAAGGCGATCATCTGTATAGTCGTCATACATGACCAGTATACTTTAGAACTCGCTGGCATATTGGAAGATTGTTGTGTGCCTTGGTTAAATGATTTCATCTACTTTTTTATTTATTTTTTTCTAACCAAGGATTTTTCAGCATTGGAACTTCGGGGGTATAAACTACCAGAAGCTGAGTCTCCAGAATCGGTGTATCCCCATCATAAAATGCACCCAGCTCTTCACTCTGGAACCTGGAAACTCAGCAGTGATCGTCAGTTCAACAGATTTAAATAAAATGGTAGGTGTGACATCCAGTATGTTGTAAGGAAATTTGTACATGTCTAGAAAGTACAACAGAAGTTTAAAGGGGTTTACAGGATAATACTGCATCTCACCAGGCCGTTGTATGTTCTGCCCCTTCCACTTCTCACATCTGCAGTATCTAGAGCAACGGTAAGCAACCTCCTGCACTTCAGCTGTGGTGATATTCCAAATGCCATCCTGCCTCTACCTCTGGGAGTCATGCCTGTGGCTGTCAGTCTTGCAATGTCTCATGGGATTTTTCTGGTGTGACCACAGCTGGAGTGGCAGGGTTGTCTGCCCCCTGATCTCGAGTTTTATACAGTTTGCATCTCTTCCTCTGCTTTCAGCTTTTATCACCGCTTTACAGAGAGAGGATGCATTCTTCTATTTCAGTGGCTCAGATTCCTCCAGCAATGCTACAAGTGCATTGATCGAGGAATCCCCGCAGTTTCTTTTGTAGTGGCTGTTGTCAGAATACCCGAACGGGGACGGCAGCATATGGGCTTCCGGCTATGTTCATACAAAGATTTTTACGACCCGCTAATCGAGGGTTGCTGGCCGAAAGGGTGCCGACACCCACTAAATTTTGCAGTGTGTGGCCACCTTTTTAGTCTTGAAATATCTATGGGTTTTGCATTCTTTTGTCTTATATCTGCCTGACATTTAGCACTAAAGTTGTTTTGTATGTTGTTGGCTTTTTTTATTTTAACTATATTTTCGTTCTTGTGCTAAATCTTTCTTATTCCTGTTTTAGCATGAATCGAGAACTTCCAGCAAAGCAAGGATGGAAGGCCTTTTGTCAAGTTTTCTACAATATTTAGGATTAAAAAGAGTTCTGTGAATACTGATAAAACTTGATATTCACCTGTGAATGTGAAAAGGTGGTTTGTGCCACTGACCGTGAGGTGTATTTATTCTGAAACGGTTCCAAACCAAAGACTTCTTCTCCATTTATAGGTTGTACAATGCAAAAATCATGAATTTTGGCCAGTGTGTAAAAGCTGGCTTCCTGTGTACATATATTCAGCTGCCATGTATAGTGTGCGGTTCTAATTTTGATGTTTAAATTCTGGGCAGATGTGATAGATCTGTATAGATCTGATTGCCACTCATTGTAGTGCTGCTAAGCAGAAGTTATTTTCTTCCATGTTCTAGAGCTCCAAGGACAGCTGATGAGCAATAACGTGTCTACCAGTGCTAAGTAAGCAGATCTCCGAATGATTGATGTTTACAGGCTGGTAAAAGGTGACTGTAAACAATAGAGGTCCATTATTTCTTTATGTAGTTAATAGTGCAGCCCTAAGTCACTGCTGTGAAATGCATTTGAAGGTTAAGCATCAACAAAGGCACCATTCATTTATGTACATTATTGGATTGTGATGTTTTGAGGTTCTGTAAAAATGAGCCTTAAAAAGGGTTCCGGTTTCTATAACCAATAACCGTATTTTGATTAGATTATCCGTTTGCTGGCATATAATTTTTTAAGTTTTACATATAGTTAGAATTATCATGACAAGAATTAAATGTATGATGACTTGCATCTTCTCAGCATCATATGATTACTGTTGTATTGGTTCAGGAAAAGTCCATTGGAGTCTGGGGTCCCTGGAGTGTGCCGGGGAAGACTTGAAAAAGCATGTGTATGTACTGGCACCAAAATGGTGGCCCCTATCACCTCTCATACCCGTCTGTATTGTATATATTAGCGGCAGGTTCACTTCAAGCTGCGTAAATTGGGAGAAACTACGTAGAGATTTGGCACTCGCTGAACGTCTGATCATTTTGAGCTATTTTATATCAGGAGGAAGATGTTAACCTATTGTCAGCCGTGCCACATTATGGGCTCATACTCTCAGGCCTTTCAGCAGCAAGAAGTATCAGTTTTGTTCTAAAATAAAACCTGTACTGGGAGAGAGATTGAGGTTGCCATTTTTAATCTACTTCTATAAATGTAAGTTGTCTGACTGTCTCTGATTTCAGTATGTTCTGAGTCACTGACCTGGAAATAGAATGATGCAGATCATGAGTTCTGACTTTACTGGTGGCATGCTTTTTCCAGGTTGGTGACACAGAAAATAATCTGTATAACTATTTGAGGTACTCAATACTAAAGCAGATAGATTACCATGAATAGAGCAGGAATCTAGCATTTTCAGGAGGAAAGGGTCTTCAATAGCATCCTTATTAAAAAAATATATATTTCTGGCCTTGCAGATTCACTTTAAGGCAGGGATGTCCAAACTCTGGCCCTCCAGCTGTGGTGAAACTACAAATCCCATGAAGCATCTGTCTCCGGGAGTCGTGGCTGTGAGAATCTTGCAAAACCTCATGGGATTCGTAGTTCTACCACAGCTGAAGGGCCAGAGTTTGGACATCCCTGCTTTAAGGTGAGCCTCCATTTGAAATGTTTTGGATTGTGAAAGAATTGGAATCTGTCAGCTTTTGTGCTGCGTGTGTCCCAAAAGTCCCCTCTACTGTCTTGGTGACAACTTTAATATTTTTTAGTTTTCTTCTCACTTTTCCCAACAGGACATAAAAGTTAAAGTGACACTAAATTAAGGAGTTAAATCTTAAAATGCATTCAACTACCTTAACTATTAAAATGTATCTTATCACTGGGCTGTAGATCTTTAAATCATCTCTGAATTCATGCGGACACTGTCCTTCCTTCTGGAGGTTGGCTACTTTTGTTCCCCATGGTCCCTGTGTGTGTTGTTAAGTAGCCACCGCTCCAAGCTCAGTCCTGTGATGAACTACAATCTCATGTTTAGTTTACTAATTTGTATTGAGATTGTAGTCCATCATAGGAGTGAGCTTGGAGCGGTGGCTACTTTACAACACACACAGGGACCATGGGGAACAAAAGTAGCCACCCTCCAGAAGGAAGGACAGTGTCAGCACCAATTCAGAGATGATTTGAGATCTACAGCCCAGTGATACACAAATGATCTTATTTCTTATTTTTTTTTTGTTAAGTTGAGGTACTTGAATGTATTTGAGATTTAACTCCTGAGTTTAGTGTCACGTTAAGTTCCCCGATGGAGAAATGCACACAGCAATATAAAACCTGATGTAGATTCTCAAATGTCTGCAACCTATACAAAACTAGAAAGTGTTGGAGTCTCTCACTTCAACACCATCAGCACAAGGTCTAAATATCTTAAATGGTTCTTCATTGGTACTTCCAGAAGTGCCACTATTAATTTACCATCTGCCTGAATATTGCATTTCTACCCCACTGGTGGTAACTTTAAGCAGCTGGGGCAGTCCATTGGATGCTGTGTAAAATGCTTCCCCTTCTGTTGAAGGTTTATGGCAGTAACATTGATGGAAAGGCTACACTATTTCAGAATGCGGATAACAGCGTAACTTTCGAATGCCATCTGAGGGTGTTCACTATCCTCTTGCATTTTTCTGAATTTCCAGAACATGAAAGAACCACTGCGTCAGCCCCCACATTATATTGGTGAATTAGAGCTCCAATCTAGACAGTGATTTTCATACAAGAACCGGCTCTTTGTATTTGCTTGGGTTTAGGCACAATGGCTTTAGACCGACCATACAATCTACAGCCCGGGCTGCTTTAGGTAGTGCTTGCCACTGCAGTTGTTAATATATCTTAAGGAGGTTGTATTGAAATGTGGCCAGTTTTTGTTTTCCATCTGATGTTTGCAGGATGACCCATCTATACCGGTATACCCAGGTACAGCTTATAGAGAAAGTGGGAAAGACTTCAATAACAATGCAGTTCTATGACACCAGATGTTATCTGACAGGAAGTTTGACATCGGCTTCTTTCTATATACTTGGTTGATGCAATTTTTCTGTGACCTATCGCACACCAGGTTAAAGGTCCACTGAAGGCCATATTTATATCAAGTGAACTTTGAGGGGGAACCAAAACTGTTCGTACTTTTTTTTACAGCCCCAACTTGTCTTTTAAATTAGTCTATACTTTTGATTTGTATATTATGTTGAACTGACAGTATGCAAGGTGCAGTATCTGCTTCTAAACGTTGTTCATGGATATGCTTCTGTACTAAGCTCATCAGTCTGTAAAATTGGGTTTCGGAGGTTTGCTGCTTATCTTGTAGGGTGATTTTTACATATGTACAAAAGTAACTAATGGGATTAAAGTTGGCGTTTTTACTATGATTTTGTTTTAGGGATCATTGTAAAAAGCTTGTCACATTAAACATAATAAATGTTATTTTTTATTTTGACTTTCTTTGCATTTTTTTTGTTTTTCAATTGTACATTTTGCTGCTTTTTATAATGCAGCTAAATTGGTCTTCCTGGCATGATTCTTCTGTCCAAAATAGAAGGTAAAACATAACCGAGCAGGGAAAATAATAACCCTTTTTATAATGATGTGCAGACCCAGGAACTAATGTGAAATATCAATTTTGGGTACACTGACACTTAAAATGTGCCACCTGTTACCTTTTTAATGTATACCTTAATCATTCCTTTAATTTGATAGGCAGCCTTTTTGACTAATCCAGATTCCTAGGAGTTAAGGTTTGTTCAAAGTTTACAGGTAAAAACAAGACTTGCCTATAACGGGGCACAGACTTTACGAGCCAAAAACATGTCTGTTCAGTCATTTTCTAAAACATTCCTGTTGCACAGCACTGCCAGGATCTCGCTTCACCTTTTATTTTTCCTCAGTTTAAGTGACACTAAACTCAGATGTTAAATCTTAAATACATTCAAGTACCCCAACTATTCTACCAATAAGGTCCAGTATTGTGATCACTTGGCTGTAGCTCCTCAAATCATCTCTAAATTCATGCAGACACTGAATGTCCTTACCTCTGGAGGGTGGCTACTTTTTGTTCCCCATGGTCCCTGTGTGTGAAGTAGCCAGTGCTCCAAGCTCACTCCTGTGATGGACTACAATCTCTGGTTTTATTTACTAATTTTGAGATCTACAGCTGAGTGATGCACAAATAAGGTACATTATTGTTAATAGTTGAGGTAATTAAATGCATGTTTAAGAGTAAACTGGAGTTCAATGCCACTTCCAAGCTTGCCCTGTGGACACATGGCTTGGTAAGGCTGTCACAGTAAGACCTGGGGGGGAAAAAAAAAAAAAAAACTGCACTCAATGGATGCACCAGTGAGACGACCAGCAAGTCTTGTTGACTTGCTGGTTGAGTTGGAAAAAAAATACAGGTGTAAATAGGCCTTTAATTCACCCACCTAATGTGATCCTTAACCCCTCTCACTCCAAACACTTAAAGCAGGTTTGTCCAACCAAAAGTAGCAAGGTGATCTAAGGGAGCTTCTGACCTCCCATTATGTTTTAAAGATGTCAGTAAAATGTTACCCCTGCCAAAGTTCTTAACTGCTCCTGCCCACCTATGTTTTCAGTATAGAAATCTTCCTGTACTCATTCAGATCTCTAGATATTTAGAGTACTCCTGCATGTAAATTCCTGCCGCTGCTCATGTACACCTGGATGTTTTGGGCATCTTTGCCCACCTCTGTTCCAGTAGCAAGGGCACATAATTTATGACTGTGCCTCACCACATGGAATTTGTGGCTATTCCTCCCCACCTTTTGTGTATTACAGTAGCAATGGCATAATCCAACTCTATCCATGTCCATCTAGGAATTGTGGGTGTTCCCCTGTCATAACTGCTGGCTGCTCCTGTTCACCTGAATTTTGGGGTATTCCTGACCACCTATGTGTATTATAGTACAGCATACTCCCTGGCAATTCCAGACTCTGCTCATGTTCACCTAGGAATTTGTCATTTGTGTGCGTTTCAGTAGCAACATCCAAGTGCCACATTTCTTTAGTATACCCATATCAACCAAGTTGCTCCCAGACAGCATGTGTTTCAACTTAGAATAAAATGAATAGTAAATAGCAGTTGTCCTTTTGCGTGATTTTAATACTTCAATATTATGCAATGTGCTTTGTTTAAAGTAAAAGCTTGATGAGCTTATAGGGGATGTACCAGTTCTGACAATGAGCGGCTTAGACTAAAAGAAGGTAAATGAATAAAACCACAAGGGGACTCAAGGTTAAACACAAGCTTTAGCTGTGTCTCAAAATACACAGGTTAGCACTTTACAAAAGTGTGTTATTGTCTGGTTATAGCAAATAGAAAAATAACAAATTTATGTTTAAAATAACAAATCACATAAAACAGCTCTCTGATTATACATTTCATGACAACATAACCTAAACAATTATGCATAATAAAAGTACATAAAACTTCCCTGCCATGTAAAATATGAAGAACTCTATGCTGCCAACTTGCTCTTCTTTGTCACTGGCTCGCCATTGCTGGTCTTTTGGTCCTTCTCACTTACGGTAACACCTGGAATCTATTATAAAAATACATTTTAGAAGAGCATTCAAACATTACACAATGCAAATTGATTATATAGAATGCTTAGTTAGATTTGCAGGATGACCCCAACTTTCCTGTACACAGATCTGTCTTTTAGAGGGGACCTCCATAAATCTAGTACTTGCACAGAGTTTATCCAACTGGAAAGAGTGCATATGATGAGAAGCTCTGACCACTACGGGGAAATTTTCAAAATCCTTAACACATATTAAAGAAGGACATTTAGAAACAGATCAGAGAGCGAGATCAAGTGTAAGGTGTAAACTTTGCTTAAACTGATGGCATCCATCATACTATAGGCTAGACAAACGTCACAGCATCCCCTACCTTCCCTCCAAGTACAAAATAAAAAGATGATCAAGTTTGTATTAAAAGTATGCACAAACACTATAGTAAACCTCAGCTAAAAAAAAAATAAATGACTGCCTTCCACAAATATCAGCCAAAGCTAAATAAACATGATTTTTTTTTTTTTATCTATTAACCAGCAGTTGCAAAAATAGCCCATTTTCCCATAAAAAGAAAATATTAAAAACAATATAGAAAAAAGTAACTACCTCAGGCTCCACTAGGACCATCCGTATTTTCTGGTGCTGAATGTTTGAGGCGTCCAAAGAAATTCTTACTTTTACTTTGTCAAACATATAGAAAGCCGTGTTTTCCACAGTCAGAGAAGGAATCTTAAAAATAAATCAATAAATGCCATAAAATAAACATTGAAACTAAGCTAATATTTGTCACCTCCTGGTTTATAAAAGGAACATTTCCACTGGATGTTTTGGGCATCAGAGAGATACAATACATTGAACATTTATTAATGTCTGCCCGATTGCACCTTACAACAACATGGAGGACAATTGCACGAATATTACCAAAAGCGTTATTACGTAGGTCTTGTAGGCTAGGCAAAATCCTAATGCTTTGTTTAGGCAATCATCGAATACAAAAAAAATTCCACCATTTTAACCTTAAAAAAACACTTTTTTTTAACATTTTTGGATGGGATAGGGTTAAAATACTACAAATTCAGGAATTAAATCCTAAAAATTAATTCAAGTACCTTAACTAACAAAAATGTATTTTATTTTGTTTATCACTCAGCTGTAGATCCTCAAATCATCTCTGAATTCATGCTGACACTGTCCTTCCTTCTGTTCCCCATGGTCATTATGTCTGTTGTAAAGTAGTCACCACTCCAAGCTCACTCCCATGATGGATTACAATCTCACATTTAGTTTACCAATTTGTATTAAGATTGTAGTCTACCATAGGAGTGAGCTTGGAGCGGTGGCTACTTTACAGCACACACAGGGACCATGGGGAACAAAAGTACTCACACTCCAGAAGGAAGGACAGTGTCAGCATTAATTTAGAGATGATTTGAGGATCTACAGCCGAGTGATACACAAATAAGATGCATTTTTGTAACTGCGGTTTTTATCTACTATATACCGCAAAAAGTACCAAAAATTTAACAAAACCGTTTCTTCCTTTATTATGTTAGGAAACATTTATTACCCAACTTTTTTGGTATAATATAAAAGACGGGGTCACGTCGGGTAAATAGACATCAAACATGTCGAGCCTTAAAATTGAGCACGCCTGCGAAATTGCAAAACATCTACCACACCCAAAATTGACCATAGGCGATACTTTAAAAGCTTTTACCGCTCATCACTTTAGTGTTAACAGTGACTGATGGCCCTAAAATTATTACTCTCACTATGACATTCGCAATGATATGTAACAAGTGCGGCGTAATGGGTGCAATGGTCATTTTTGTAGAGGTGGAGGACTTAAAAAAAAAAATCTTTTTTTTTTAGTGTGTGTAAACTTAATTTTTTGTAACCAATTTTTTTCTTTACATTTAACTTTATTGTCAACACATAGGGGACTAAGAAGCCCCCTATGTGATATCAAATTACAGTGACAGGTCCTCTTTATGGAGACATCTGGGGTCTCCAAGACCCCTGTCACCTAGGGACCCCCAAAGAAGCTGATGAAGCAGAGATCTGCTTCACCAGTTTCTCTCCGGCTTCTGTATCCGGAGGGTGACAGCTGAATGCGGAAGTGATGTAATACACATCACTTCCTGCATTCACAGAACGGGTAGGAGAGAGATTGTATACTGATCTCCCTCAGTTCTCCGTGCACGGAGCGACACTGCCCGGTCCTGGATCGGACGCCCGTGGCGACTGCAAGGGGTGGGCACGGAGAGGTGTGTGTCATACAAGCTATCGGGCGTCTTTACAGCACTGTCACAAATACACCAGACTGCTTGTATGTAAACAGCTGTTTCAAATTTGGGGGTGTGGGCACAAGGGACGTTTAAAGACAGCCACCCACTGCCAAAAGGCTCCCGTCCGACAGTTTCTGAACGTTCGGCCGACGGGAGGTGGTTGAAGATGCATAAATGAGTCCACCTTGTTTGATGTGTACATGAAGAAATTACTTGGCATGAAACAGAGCTTTTCAGTAGTAAATAAAAGCTGCATGCTACTCAGCTGCTATCCTAAATGTCACATTTTGATTGGCAGACTGGGTGATTTGAGAACAGCAGAACAGCCAAAACAGATGGGATCATAAAAAAAGAAAAATCAGAATAAACGTAAACAGGGAATTGTCTATGGCAACCATGGTTTTACCTCTGGAGATCCTTATGATTCATCCAGCCTACTCTACTTTCTAAGCATCAGCCTGAGACCTTTTATTGTGAAGTACAAGTTGCTTGTACTTTGGGTGGATTGGGGAACCACCACTGCAACAAGCAGACCTTGGCTATTAACCCTTTAGTGGCCAAGCCAATATCCATGGGGGTGGTGGAAGGAGGAGATCTCTTTGCAAGGTCCTGGACAACAGTGAAGACTTGTCAGGAATTAAATAGAAAGTGACATGATCAATTCCCTGCTAGGTCTCATCCGTTGTCCAGGTCCTTAGCAGGCAATTACTCTGTAAACGAGATAAATATAAATCTATTTAAGGCATATTAATATTTTCATAAATCTATTAGATTAAAAATGACCAATATAAAACATCAATATCTAGTGACATGGTATCCTTTCCAATGTACAGTACATGAATGGTATACATAATGCATGTGGTGCAGCAGATGTCTTGGGGCTTCGTGCTCTGAATCTTTATGCTGCTGGCTTCCAAAGAATCAACGTGAACTGCAGAAAAAGGTAGCAATGATTTGTTTGAAAAAGAAATCAATTTCGCATGACCTTACCTCGTCATTGTAAAGTAGCCTAGGCTTTATTCCTTTGTTTTTGTCCTCAAAAAAGACTGTGCCTTCTAAACCAAACTTTGGGATCAATACCACAATTGCATTTTTTCTAACAAACAAGATGTATCCATCTTCATTCACAATTCCTTTGTTTTTAAAGAAGAGCTGCAAAGAAATGATTATATTAAACAGAAAGAAGGAAAAGAGAAATGTGTACAAACATTGTTAGACTAGGCACAGGAATATTTACCAATCCGTCAAGATAACAAAGGATAGCCAAGCATGCCATCTATGTCCTCCCTCTTTTTTCACACACTCAAAGTGGAAGTTAAAAACCAACAAAAACCCCAGGCAAAAATAAATGACCAAAACGAGTCACAGACAACAAAAACAAACAACCTGACAGTTACCCCAATTATTCCCCACTCTATTGAAACCTCAAAAGGTTTTGGTATGAATTTAACTTTGCAAGTACAGTACATGAACCTGACTTGGTATCTGTCGCTTGTAATCCCCTGCTGGGGACAAGGGGGTGACCAGGCTGTATTGCTTCACTACAAAAATAAAGTCTCCAACCTGGCTCTGCAAGTTTCACGACTGGGTGGACATAAATCCTAACTATGCAGCTAAAACAACTCCTAACGTATATACAATAGAAGTATTGTGCACTTTTCTAGATTTCATCTATCATCTCTTTTCCACAGGCAAGCTCAACTTAACCCTTTCCTTGCTGTAAATGATTGAAACTGCCATACTTCTAATTTTCATGCCTAGTAAATGCTGTTATCAAGATCCTGAAATTTGTATACATAGACAAAAATGTACCTTCCTTTCACATTTCACAATCAAAAAGGGTGTTCTTATCTTCATAATTCTTAAGGTGCCCATACACCTTACGACCATCGCAAGACTTTTGTCTTGCGATGGTCGTATGCTCATTAAAAGCCCGTACGATCTGCCCATCTTGGACCGACAGATCGTACTTGCGATCATCGGAAGCCCGCCCCGCTGAGGGGCGGGCTTCCGATGACGGCAATGCAAAACGGGCAGTGTGCGCGTGCGCACACTGGCCCGTTCCGCAGCTATCGGGCTAGCAGGCTAGAAACCCGCCGAGAATCGTACGATTCTCGGCTGGTTTTCAAGCATGTTGGCTCGACAAAAGACGTGCAACCGTACAGTAGAAATGGTCGCACGTCTTAGTTCACACTGCTCGATTCTCGTACGATCGCGGGATTTCGCCTGACTCTCGTACGAGAATCGAGCAGTGTATGGGCACCTTTACCTGCAGTCCTGGGAAGGAAGCTAGCATGCATGTGTCTCTTATCAACTCCCATTAGATTAATTGGCCATCACCCCCTGCACCATCTCAGTATTAAGCTGGCCATACACCAATAGATTATCTGCAGATTTTCTATGGTCAGATGGAAACAATTCCTCTTTCTATGCTATACTGTGTGGATGAAGGAATCTCCCACTGGGCCAAGCTTCAGTATCTTGCTAGTCGGCCCCGCTGGCTGTTGAAATACCTGAACAATCAGATTGGATGCAGGCATTGTTCAGGTATTTTGAGAGCCAGTTTTAAAAAAGCCCTCAATGGGGCCCACCAGTCTGGCCAATTTGAGACCAATCTCCTTGCTCCCATTTACCTCCAAACTTTATGAACGCCTATCTACAACCACCAGAGCAGCCACCTTACAGCTAACAACCTCCTTGACCCCTTTCAATCTGGCTGTCATCCACAACACTCCACAGAAACTGCCCTTATAAAACTTACTAATAGTCTACTAACCACTAAAACCAAAGGCCATTACCCTATATTCATACTCTTTCTGCTGCTTTTGATACGGTTGACCCCAACCAAACTCTCAACTCCAAAACTCTGCTTTCTAATGCTTCATCTCCTATCTATCCCATGTCACCTATAACTCTACTTCCTCCTCTTCACTTCCTCTATCTGTAGAGGACCCTCAAGGCTCTGTCCTTGGGCCCCTTCTATTCTCCATCTACACCTTCTCACATGGCTTCCAATACCATCTCTATGCCGACGACACACTTGTATATCTCTCCACGCCTCAGCTCACCCATCACTAATCTACTCACTGACATATCAACATGGATGTCACACCACTTCTTCAAACTAAATCTGTCCAAAACTGAACTTGCTGGTATTTCCTCCTCTCTGGGCCCCCTCCCCAGACTCTTCCATCACAATCAACAGCACTACAATCAACCCCTCCCATCAAGCCAGGGTGCTAGGTGTAATCCTTGATTCTGAGCTCTCCTTTCAGCCCCACATCCAATCACTCTCCAAATCTTGCTGACTCAACCTCCGTAACATTTCCAAAATGTGTCCCTTTTTAACAAATGACGCCGCAAAGCTTCTAATTCACTCCCTTGTAATATCTCGCCTTGACTAATTTAACTTCCTCATTGCTGGCCTTAACAAACTAAACAGCCTATCCCCCCTTCAGTCTATCATGAACGCTGCTTCCAGACTCATCCACCTTACCAACCGGTCAGCATCCGCCACCCCTCTCTGCCAAATTGCTCCACTGGCTCCCACTTGCCCAACGTATAAAATTCAAAATACTAACAATAACCTACAAATACATCTACAACTCTGCCCTAACCTACATCACCCACCTCATCCTAAAATAATCAAACAAACTGCCCCTTTGCTCCTTCCAAGACCTCCTGCTCTCCAGCTCTCGTCACCTCCTCCCATGCTTGCCTCCAGGATTTTCCCCAGAGTGTCTACCATCCCCTGGAACTCCCTACCCCAATCTGTCAGCTTATATTCTACTCTATCCACCTTTAGGTGACCTTTGAAAACCCATCTCTTCAGAGAGACCTATTCCACCTTTATATAACTGTCCTTTCAGTTCTTCCATTAAATTATCCCAAACAGTTATTACTTTATCACTTGCCCCTCCTACTAGATTGTAATCCCTCACGAGCAGGGCCCTCCTACCTCATGTAGTGAAATTGTATTGTTAACTGTATTGTCTCCCTCAATTTTGTAAAACGCCGCACAAACTGTTGGCGCTATATAAATACTGAATAATAATAATAATTTAACTGTGTATTTAGCCATTTCACTAGAGGGGAACTTTAAACCACTGGCTTCCTTTTCGGCCCTCTTCCCTTTAGAACATTTTCCTCAAAACCATACAAGCACACAAAATTGAATCTGGACTTCTTCCCCATACAGTGTAATATTGTGTCTTCCCATACCTGAGTGTGAAATGCAACGGAAGCTCTCTGGGAATACTGAGCCATCTTGTGCCTGTAGTTGATATTTTTGCAGATTTCAGATATTTTTTGTTTGTCTGTCAGATCAGGGTATGTAGAATCTGCCCCAACTGCTACAGCAAGAAGTCTGTGTACTATGATATCAGCATACCTAGAAAGATACAAGATATTACATGGGTTATGGTTAGCAATATAAGCCTGGCAATTTGTAATGCCCAAAGTACACCTACAGGCTTTATGAAAGGTTTCTCTGGAACATTTCCACTCAAGTAATCAAGGCTGTGTAATTATCTCTCTGGAGCTCGCAGTGCCCTTCCTGCCCCCAAAAGACAAAACCTGTTGGTGCTATGTGACAATGCAGTGCAAAGAAGTACTGCTATCAATAAACCATGTATTATCTTGCATTACATGGATTATTGTTAGCAGTATAAGCCTGGCAATTAGTACCACCAAGGTACACCTACAGGGTTTATGTAAATGAAAGGTTTCTCTCGTACATTTCCACTCTAGTAATCAAGGTTGTGTAATTATCTCTCTGAAGCTCGCAGTGCTCTTTCTGTCCTCAAAAAGACAAAACCTGTTGGTGCTATGTAACAACGCAGTGCAAAATATGAAGTTATTGCTAACCTATGATGATTTCAGTTTATAAAACAGAAAGGAAAACCTGTTTTTCACCTAGTCAGAATAGAGTTTCATCTTTTTCAAATGAAATGCACAGAAACTTTTTTTTCTTTACAACTATAAATCTGGCAAGTTGTGTTAGTTTCAATCCTTGTTCCATTACCGGTTCTATGGCGTTCAAACTGTAAGGCAAAAAGCAATCTCCAATGTGCACTTATTCAAAGCAACTAAATCAGACCAAACCTATCTAGTCAGACTCAGACCCCATTCACACTGAGCTACATCAGCGCCTTTTCAGCGCTGATTTAAGCTGAGACATTGCACATTTTGTCGCGCTACGTACCGCTTCTTTTGGCAGTCTACCAAAGCCTATTGGGGCCAAATCACACAAAATCCGCTGGAAAAATAGGTCATGTTCGAGCGACAAGCTTGAGCTACAAGCTACAGGTGACATTGAGCTGTGAGATGTGAACCGCTCAATTAAAATGGATTGGACGAGCTACACTGAGCGATATTTGAGTGATTTTTGAGCGGAAATCACGCTACAAAACGCTCAGTGTGAATGGGGTCTAAGGCCCTGTTTACACAGGAACTTTGCTGTGTTATGGGATCCAAAGGTTCTTGCCACAGGAATCTCAGGTGTTCCCATTCAGATGCAGCCACTATAACCATTCAAGTTAATGACAGGGTGACAGCGACCATATCTGTCCATGATAGAGGAGTCCAGCGACAATGATCTATCCGTTGTGGACAGATGCACCCGTGGTCATCCTTTCAATACCTTAAATGGGTACAGCAGACGCATCTGGGGACAGGAATACCTGGGATTACTGTGACAAGAATTCAGGCAAACATTCTTGCCGCAGGAATCCCAAAAAGCGAATGCAGCCTTACAGTGGCCTCAGAAAATGGAATCTTATACCAGTTTGAGCAGCAATAATGAACCGGGAGTACAGCAATGTAAACTATTAAATGTTAGAATGCTGACTACATTCTGTAGTAAGATGCAGCAAAACCTTACTCTACTTGTCTAATACTGAAGCTATTGCCAAGGATTAAAGGTTTTTAAAGCAGAGCCAACTACAGGCTAATGAGAGAGGAATATGCACTCTAAAGCAGAAAACTGCATGGTTTTACAAATACCTATTTTTGTTTGATCATGGATAGCAAACCCCCATCAGCTCGGCATTACAATAGGACCAGGAACACAGGGGTGGTCAGAAGGTGGCAGCACTGAATTTTAAATCCTTAATATAATTTTAATGTGTTTAACATAAACAGAGTGTTATAGCTGCAGTGTGTATCCAACCATACGGCTGCATATTTAAGTAGCATGCACAAGGTCCATTTTAACTGCTGACAGCTGGTCCCTAATTGTTCTTTCTAGGTTACTGCAGATTGTGCATTGGTCTTTGGATAACATTGTTAAAAGAGACCCAATTTTATTATTTTTAAACTAACATTTAAAAAAACAAAATCTGTTACTAAAGCTTTAGTACCATCTACTGCCGAAACTTCATCTGTCTGCCTGGTTGCTGGAGATGGTACGATAAAGCTGATTTACAACAAAAAAAGAAAAACCAAAACAGCTTTTTACATGATTGGAAAACTGAAGTGAATGTTCACACAAATGTTTTGAGTGAAGATTCTCTCAACTTATTTTGTAGCCCAAATCAAGATATCGATCTTAACAATGTGCTACATATTCTTTCCACTCCGAGCGCCAACACATTTGAATAGACACAGAAAACCTAGCATTGTTTTTCAATGCTCTGTCTTATTGCAACAATGAGGATTTTGCAGATTTGTAACAAACCTTCTGATGGGAGAGGTGAAATGTGTATATATGGGAGAGGCTAAACCGTAGTGGTGGAAATCATTATCCATTCCAGAGCAGAAGTAGACTGCCTGCATCATGCAGCGGGTAGCCAAGATCCTCAGCAGGGTGTTTAAATAGGGAAACTCGGCTGATTCTGCTTTGTCTAAGGAGTCAGCCAGAGCCTTTGCAGAGTCGGTTTTTATCTCCAAATTCTAAAAAAATAATACAGATTATGTAATGCAAAGAAACAAATACATCTTCCACAACTTAAAATACATACTGCCATCTTGGCCATGCAAAGCATAGTGACAGCATCTCTTTAAAGGACATCTCCCAACACCCTATATTCACCTTCCTCCACAGTCAACACTAAAATCAGTAGTCACAGAGGGGCAAGTTGCGTGTTACCATTCCATGGAAGTGACTGATATTTCCATCATATGCGAGAAAGCAGAACATTCTTGGATTGGACTTAGATCAATGATGGCTAACGTTTTTGAACCCGAGTGCCCAAACTGCAATGCAAAATCAATGTATTTATCTCAAAGTGCCAACACTGAAAATAAGTTTAATATTGTGTTTTAGTTCGGGCACTGGGGTTTAAAAAAACAGTCAGCATTATTGCCTTAGGCAAAATAGGGAAACACACATATTTAAATATTTATACAGTCACAGATACAAAACACATATAATCATACATTCATAAACACGCTCATCACACACTAATAAAAACACACCACAAACTCATAAAAACACATCACACATATCACGCAAACTCATAAAAGACATCACACACACACCTATTAAAAAAAAAAAAAACCATACTCACACACACACCTATTAAAAAAAAACACACAAATCTATTAAAAACACACACACACACCCTTAGCAAAAATGGCTACTGTGAGAAGAATGGGGAGCAAGAGAAAAATAAGGTATGCAAAGAATACAAAGCCTTCAATTATCTAGAAGTATGTGTTTGTAGATTCTCTTACTAAACATTTCTAAAAGGTGCCTTTGTTGTTATTTTAAAGATCTGGGTAATGTTCCTTTTTTTAAAAAGAATCCACAACTAGTGCAGTGTTTAGAAAAACTTATCAGTATAGAACATGATGGACAACAAATAGTTTGAACTTTTTAGAATTGAAATTGAAAGAGGTAGTATCTCAAGAACATATCTCATCCTTTCAGGTAAGCCCAAACTTGCACAGGGTCCTAGACAAGCATTTATCTCTAAAACTATGTGATGAAAATTTCTGGCACCTGGATGAAACCAAAAAATCCAGGGGAAGGACTTGGTAATTAATGGTCATATGATTTTTAATGTTTGTGTTTAGCACAGCTCTCTCTTTCTGCACATCATTTACCTCGCTACAACCTCTGCTTTGTACCAATAGATGAAACGTAGTGCTGCTACAGAAAGTGAACAATCAGATTTTATTTTAGAAAGAATCACAATGGCTGTTGAGGGCAACATCTCCACTTTTGATAAGGCTTCTTGCTGTATTACTATGTAAATGGTTAGATCAATTTCAGTATAGCTTTACCTTGGAACCTGAAGCCTTCACCAGTATATCATAATTTCCTGGAGGAGGAGCTGGATGTTTACGCAGTAGGGCATACTCTGAAAACTCATCATAGATCTTCTGCGCCACTGAAATGTTGGCAAGCAACATAAACTCTTCCACCATGGAATTAGTTTCCCTTTAAACAAATGAAAATCCATGCATTAACAAAAATAAAAACTACATTTTTTGATTTATTGCTAGGCTGCAGGGCATGCTTGGGTCCAGGTCTGTACACATGTGCCAAGGCCAATTAAGTGGGGGGCCCACTCTACTGTAAGATTCTACTTTTATTTTACATCAATAGGAATACAGAAGTAGAAGTAGGGACACCCTAAGGTGAGATCAGTTCCAAGAACAGAAATGGACATTACTGGTATAAGATTGCTCGCAGGTGCCTTTTTCCCTTTTAATGGTCTTAAAGCCCAACACAATATGAGTATCTCATATATTAGTTTCACCTTTTAAGTTGCATTAGTGAAATAAATGAACTTTTGCACTATATTCGAATTATTCAAGTTTCACCTGTATATACACCAGATTTCACAGAAACCTCATTCCCTGCCTTGTAACTGTCACACTATTTTAAAATTCTGCAGAGCTCACTGTCCCATTAAATGAAGGCTGTTTTATGGAATATGGCATCCCCATGTACATCCCTAAGTTACTAAACTGGGGATTTCATCTTTGGTAAGATAATTGAGGAGTGTGTATAAAAGCATCCTGGGAAAGAGCAGAGTTTCTTATTACAACACTGGGACTAATTCTATTATAGTGAAGACAAAGCCACACATCTAGCACTCTTTAATGCAAGCAGGCACAATGGCATGGCAAATCATTAGTATCTGCAAAACAGAAGCTTGTGAAGATCTGCAATGTAGTTTGCAAAACCCCTCACAAGTTACATATTTGTTCTAGCAACAAAACTGGACTATCACGTAAGAGTAGAAGTAGACAGTTGTTTTGCATGCTTCCTTGGATGTTGAGAGTTTAAGCTTTAGTTCAAAGCCTGGAAGTTAAGCACCTTCACTGCTGTACAATTTTAACAACACCAGAAGGGTTGAAGGTGCTTTTCCATCCAGCACTGAAGACATTGTTTATTGTAGTCTTATGATAAAAAACATCTTTAAAGTGGAGAGAAGCTTGCCATTAAGTTTGCAGTTTAAATGCCCTTCCAAATCAAATTATGCATTGAGCTAGGCATACAGCCAAAACAAGAACCTACTTGAGCTCCTTGGTCTGAAGATCTATGGGGTCGTGCGTTTCGCTATCCATGTGAAATCGAACCTCAGGAGAAGAAAGAGTTAAAGCACTGTAGGAAAAAAAAAAAGATATATATTCTTAAATGACAAGATGTCAACAAATTACATACAGTATTTCTTTAGATTATAGAAATATATTTTTGACACACTTCTAATGCCATATTGCAAGGATATATCATTAAAGTTATTGAAAAACATGAAATAAATGAATTTTGGTGGATACATCACAAAGCCAGAGACTATAGCTGTAAACACTGTGGAATGTTAATAACAGACAATCCACACTGAATTAAAATGCTCAAAGAAGGGCCAATGAAGGTGCTGGCTTGGTCATGTCACCATTATAATGGGTGATGTGGATGCCTGCAGACAAACAACATATGCTTGGATACTGAACAGGCAGATGAATGATTCGATCATATCCAGCATAACGCCTGAGAAATAAGTTTGGGATACAGCAATGTATGTGCTACCCAAGTTACATCAGGAGGCCATAGTACGAACAAAGCTAAATCTGTCATGGCAGACAGAAAATGTTGTCAGCTGCATCCAGTAATGTATAGTGCGGTCAAGGGAAAGATAAGACTGGCAAGGGTTGGGCTGTTTGCAAGTATTAACCTGGCCATGCACTAATAGATCCAAGCTGAATTAAAAAATAATTCAGCATTGATGGACGAATCTCCCACTGCCACTGCTGAATAACTGGACAGTGTCTGCATCTGGCAGAATGCAGGCACTGTATGGCAGAAAACTTTAGGAACACCTCCTTAAACAAAAGTGGATAAAAAAAAAAATTTGACTTTTGTTGAGCGGAGGGGTGTTTTTCGTCCTGATCATTAGGAACCAGGCAGATTTCACTCCATGTATGGCAAGCTTGAGGGACCATTCACACCACAGTGTTACGTTAATGGCATAATACGGTGCATTTATTGCACACTATTGCACCAGGCGTGCACTCAGTGCATTGCCTTGCCATTCATTTAAATGGCACCCCAACGCACCTAGCACACAGTAACACGCAGTAGCTTGCATTAAGCGCACTGTATCATACAATTAATGCATCGCTATGGTGGGAACTTTCCCTTTGGGCTTGGTTAACCTTATTGTGTTTTGCTTAATAAACAGCACAGTAACAAAAACTATCTTGATTGCACAACAAAACAAGTTTACTTATACAAAGTAAGCTATTTTAAGCTCTTAGCATACAAACCATTACTTTGTCAATGACAGATAGCCAAGCTCTGTAGCAAAAGGTCAAGAAAATAAAAACAGAAAAATATTCAATAATTCACCCATTATCTATTCTCTGCTTCTTCAAAATCTTTGCTAATTTATTCAGCAGACGGAGACTTTTGGTAATCTCATCATTCATGTCAGGTGAATCAATTCTCATCTGCGCTTCTGCATAGGTAAGGGAAGCCTACAGAAAAGAAAATGAGACATTTAACAACGTATTACTCCATAATCAGAAAGCTTTGAGCTCTGTTTAATAACTGACAAATGCAATTGTGTTCAAAACCTCAGACCATTTACCATTAATGTGCTAAAACTACCTCCTTCCCTCCTAAAGCCACATATTCCACTTTGCTAAAGCACAATATTAGCTGATTTGCTGCGGTGGCAGTTCTCAGCCAATCATACATCAGTGAGATGAGACTCTTTCTCTCTCAATCATCCCTTATGTATGTGCTAACATTTCCAGGATGGCTGAAGAGCGCCTAATAAATAATGATAAAAGACTAAGTTGGAGCTTACTACTGCATAAAATATTGGCAATTTACTTTAACCTTAAACTATCAGAGGAATTTCAAGACGTTTTAAAGCTCTGGATGTTTTTGGGGGGTCAGCAGCTAAGCTTAAAGGAGAACTATGAGGTGAGTGCTTTTCACTCACCTCATAGTTCTAGCCGACCTGTGACAATGAGACTGTCACAGATCGGCTCAGTAGATCGGGAGGTGAGCGAACACATACCGGCGTTCGCTCGCCTCTCTGCCGTGACAGGGGGAGGGGCTGGATTCCCCTCTCCGATCTGCCAGCGCTGACTGGCGGAACGGACGGGGAGGGGGCGGGTACAGCTAGCTCTGCCTCTAGATAGGCAGAGCCAGCTGTCACTCACGCAGCTGGGCGGATCCCGTCATCTAAGTCCGGATCCACTCCGGCTGCGGCGTCTCAGTATACCGCGAGCTGTAGCTCGCGGTATACTGAGCTTAGGGTAATGGGAGGACGCTAGTTTGTGTCCTCCCGTTACCCTAAGGAGAACTATGGGGAAAAACACTGACCCCATAGTTCTCCTTTAATGAGAGTTTTCAACGCAGTCTTCCAATGCACATATCATTCATTGTAGGTTGGTATTTACAGGTAGTAACAAACTATTAAAAGTTTATTTCTCATGTTAAATTATCTAAAAGGAGAATCTTAGGTGTTTGGATGGAGATTTAAGCTGGCTGGCCTGTTGGCACCCTTTCGGCCGGCATCCCTCGATCAGCTGATCGAAGGAGCCGGTCAGAAAATCTTTAAACAGACAGAGCTGGCAGCCAATGCCGGCTCTGTTTGAGTATTCTGACAGCGGCCAGCAACTGCTGTCACAATTCAAAGACGACAGCGGGACATTCCTCAATGCTCTTGATGGAGGAACCTAATATTTTTTTTAATTCATCCTGCAGGTTGAATGAAGAAAATAATTACATAAAATGACAAAATCAGGTTTTGCTGCTTTATTCCAGATTTCCATGAAGTAGTTTTTTTCTGCCGTTCGATGTCCTCAGTCTGATGGCTAGCTTCATTCAATCACTTCCTCTGAGACCAAGTCATCCTGGAGCCACCACATGCTTTGACTGGACAGTGAAAGGAAAAGCAGCACAGTGATGAGCTCATCGCTCTGTTACTCTTTATCCTCCTATCAGCGTGCTTCTTGTCAGCACATGAACGGATTGGCTTCCTGTACTGCCACTTCCTCTCACACTCCAGTTCTGCTGTACATGGACTAGAAGAGGCTGATACCAGGCCAAATTCAGGTATTTACACTGCTTGGATTTAATGCTTACACAGGTAATTAATCTTTGTCTTTTATATCTGCCTAGATTTTAGCTTTAATCACTATAGTAAATCCAGGCAAATCCAATGCCAAGTAATATCCTCCCAAACCTCTCTCTGGTGTTGTGAAGATATAATTTACAGTTGTGGACTTTGGCAAGCTGATCATTTAACACTTATCTCTGCAATTAACCTACAACAGAATAAATATACATTTAGGAAAACGCAGGCAACATTCTCTTTAAATCCCAATTTAACGCTCTATATTAGTGTAATGCAGTCAGGCTGCATATACAGTAACCAATACTCTGCTCTTTTAGTTTAGCCAAATGCTGCAGTAAGAGTTAATATAGAGAGTAAGTCACGAGCACACCAAAATCTTCATCCTCAAAACTCCTTTATTGCCATTGGCTGATCAGAAATATTACTGATCAACAAACATAATAAAGGCATTCTGATGATGATTATTTTAATGTGCTGGTGACTTACTCTCTATATTGTGAGCCAGTGTGCTGCGCTTGGTATTGTGATACGTGCTATATTTATACCACAAACGAAACCAATACAAGTGATCAAATCCTACTTGCAACTAAATGCAATCCAAAGGTGCATATGTGCATGAACGTTAATAAATACACGTGTCATATAAATATAAAACTGATTGGTTAAATATGAGCGAAATAAGTTAAGTTAAATAAGTTAATGAATAATGCATATGTGTGCCATATAGTGAAAATACAATGTGGATACTAAATGGTTGAATTATAAACCAGGTAAATTCTGGCAATCGGCAACAATAAATAAAAAGGACAATAATTTAAAATTATTGTCCTTTAAATTATTGTCCTTTTTATTTTTTTATTTATTGTTGCCGATTGCCAGAATTTACCTGGTTTATAATTCAACCATTTAGTATCCACATTGTATTTTCACTATATGGCACACATATGCATTATTCATTAACTTAACTTATTTCGCTCATATTTAACCAATCAGTTTTATATTTATATGACACGTGTATTTATTAACGTTCATGCACATATGCACCTTTGGATTGCATTTAGTTGCAAGTAGGATTTGGTCACTTGTATTGGTTTCGTTTGTGGTATAAATATAGCACGTATCACAATACCAAGCGCAGCACACTGGCTCACAATTGATCACCTCGATAGATATTGCTGCAGCTGGATTATAATCTTTTGGATCACATTTTTTGATATTATATTTTTTCTGTATTTTGGTTCCTGATTTTTTCATATATCCTAGCGCAACTACCTTGGTCACCATTTACTCTCTATATTATATTTGGTGGCACAATCTACTTGTCACTACAGCACCCACCGAGAGGCAACAGGGGGCATACCAGTTAGGTGTGTGATGGATATCTGCATTGATCTGCAGTATGCTGGCACCATGGAGAGTCAGAAAGCAGCTCTCACATACAAGGAGACCAGGGCTGCTGCTCGTGTGCAAAAGCAATGGTCTTATTCTCCAAGGTGCTGGCAGCACAGGGTATTTCAATCAATCATGAAATACAGTGCTGGAAAACAATCTAGGGAAAACCAGGAAAGTGATTGTGGTGCATGCGAGAGACCCATGGCCCAGAGACACAGAGGGGAATTAATCAAAACTGGAGCAGACAAAATGTGGAGCAGGTGCCCAGGGCAACCAATCAGCTTCCCTCTTCAGTTTGTTCAGTTAAGATTTGAAAATGAACGAGAGAAGATGATTGGCTGCTGTGCACAGTTGCTCCAGATTTAGTCTGCTCCAATTTTGATACATTCCCCTTCACAGGGTTTATCTAGGCTTTAAAACCTTGTCTGCTTTTATTAATTAGAAGAAATACTACTAGTAACTTTTGTTTATGTACATGTAATGTCAGAAATACAGGACCAGAAAAGATAAGATAAACTGTAATCACTGTGGGAAGGGTCTAACATGCCTCTTTATTAAAGCCTGCAGTCCTTTTATACACAACCAACCATAAACATGCATATCTATATGCTCAGCAAAAGAAATATATGGAAGGACATCATTCAATCAATTATACAAATTTAGCCTGGTTGAAGGATTCCTTTAACATCCTCACTGCCTGCACAATCCTAACAAAATTATCAGGAACTGGCTCGGCTCCGTTACCCTCCCCTGGAACGAAATTATCCAAGAAATAATCTATACACAGACTTAAGTTCACTCCAAATACCCAATGAGGATCACAGGAGTTAAAACATTAAGATGTTTCAATAGGCTCTAATTGGGCATCTGAAGTAAACACAGTTCTTTAGAAGATCCCCCTCCTAATACCAATGGGTACCTTGAACCCACTGCATACCATGGATGAAAAAAATGGATTTACGTGTACGAGTTATTAAAGACATTTCCACTGTTAATACCAATACAGAATATTCTACAATAATCTTACAACATGTGCCTGGCATGCAGCCTTGTTCAATCAACACGTGAAATGAAAATAACATCTCTAATACTATTAAACATATGCACTAGAAATCTGAAAGGTTGGTAGCTTTCAGACTGTGTGCTCTGTTCTGCACACATATTTATGATCAACCTGCTTGAATATCACTGGTTCAAAACACCAGGGGACAGAGAGATCAACAAGGAAAGACAGTACAACTGCAGCACCTAAATCATATGCACACATGGTCCGGAATACTGATTTGGATTGTAAAAAGTGACTTTAGCTATGATGTTTTAAATGGCTTATTACGCAAACAAATGAAAAAGCTTCACTGGGGGCTTGTTTGCACTGTGTCGTGCTGAGCTGCATTTTTCAACACACTACCACATATGTATGGTATGAACATGGCACATGGAAAACAACTGCTTTCTATGTGCCCTATGCACACCATACATGTGTGGTGGTGTGCAAACAAAATGCAGCTCAACAGACATGGTGTGAACAAAACCCACAAAACTGACAGCAAAGCTAAGATGCTGTTTAAATTCTTGAAAGTGTATCATACTGGAAACTGTCAACCACATGTAATATATCGCTATCAAAGAAAGCACATGCTTACTTATCTACAAGGGCACATTTCTATATTAAAAAAAAAAAAAAACACCTTTACAAAGTACAAAACCTACTTACTTTTGAATTGATAACACTTTTAGTATATGTTGTATGAATAATTTTGGCATCATTACTCATTTCCCAAATGCATGAAAAAGCTAACCTGAAAGACAGGATAACTTGTTAGTGTATATTTACTAAACACATGATATATAGATAAAACATTTTTTAGTTTTGGATAGAATGTGGAAGAATTAGTACCCCTGTTTGATTACTGTCTGTCGGTGTGCCCCTCTGTGCTGGGGAGGGTCAACCTCTCTATTTGTCCAAGTGACCACTGTCTCCGGCACACACAAAATGATGGGATGCCCAACATTTTAGAGTTGTCACCAGAAAACTTTATACACACCATACATGTGCGAGGAAATCTTCCAATGGGGACAACTGTTCTAGTGACAACTGTCTAAAAGGGGATTTTCTCTCACTTTGGAGAGATCTCCTCTTACTTCCTGTTGTGTCTCTATGGGACAGAGAGTGAAGGGAAATCTCCGACAAGGCACAGACTGAAAAAAAAAACAAAAAAACTGATGGGGTCTTAATCATTTCCTACTCAATCCAAAACAAAAAAAAAAGAAAAAAAGTTTTTTTTCTGAGCAAACACTTTATTATGTTATTGTTAAATGCTGCCTGTGTGTCAGTTCAGTGCTGTGAACCATACTGGAACTTTACAAAGCAAAATCATTATAAATAAAAGCAAGGAGTAAGAAAAACATACCTATCCACTTGTGATCTTAAAGAGCATAAATTTGAACTGAGCAGTTCAGGGACCATGTCAATTCTCTGCAAAGAAACACACAGTGATTGTCATTATAAAAGCACGTTTTCATTCTGAAATTGTATAGGTACAGGCCAACAAAAATAAACCTCTTATTCTCACCAGCATTTCAGCATTTAAGATTCTTCTGACTGCCACTCAATTTCACCAGTTCCAGGCAATTAATCAGACACTATCAACATTAACTCAAGCCAATCCATTTGGGATATCTACAATGGGAACACTGACAGAAATGGAGCTAAAAGAAAGTTCTAGCATTACCACACCCAAATAAAAAGAATGTTTTTATTGCCACCATGTTTCTGTTAAGGTGGCCATACACTTTACAACCATCGCAAGACCCTAGTCTTGCGATGGTTGTAAAGTAATTTAAAAAACGTGCGATCTGCCCATCTTGGACAGGCAGATCTGAGGGGCGGGCTTCCGATGACCGCAATGCTGAACGGGCAGTGTGCGCACACCGGCCGGTTCGGCATTTGTCTCACGAGCACGGTTCAAACCAGCCGAAAATCGTACGATTTTCGGCTGGTTTTCTAGCGTGCTCCTTAGACAAAAGACGTGCGACCGTAAAATAAAAACGGTTGCACGTCTTCATTCACACTGCTCGATTCTCGTACGATCGCGGGATTTCCCGCAATTCTCGTACGAGAATCGAGCAGTCTATGGGCACCTTTAGAGATATTTAGCCTCACTTCATGTTTGGGTTGTAAGGGAAAATTCAAAAAATTGGCCAGGCAGAAAAACTGATGGTGGTTTTACCCATTCCCTAAAACTACACAAAAATCTGGCTAGGTGTACTGCTGACTAGGTGCTTGGATATTGGGTATATGCACACTAGAGCTTGGGCTGTAGGTGCCTCAGATTGTGTGTACTTTAAATCACTTTAAAGTTAATTTCTGTTACAATACACACTACTGTGCTAAATACAACTGAACACTGCACATCTTAAAAAGGTAGCCATGCATGGCTTAAATATCAGTCTATTTCTGTCTGTATCCACCAATATTCAAGTCATTGGTTGCCATGTCAGCACTTTGATTGAAAGACTGGAGCCAGGTGGAAAATTATTGGCCAAAAAGCCACTGCATCTAATTAGATGTCACTGTTAATGTATCCAGACAGCTGTGGATGTTGCAGCCGTCTAAATACAACAGTAGGCAGAGAAGATTTCCCCATCCATGCTGTTTAACATATATGGCTGGCAATTACATACCCTCTGTGCACAACCAAGCTCACAATAAAGTTCATTTCAAAACAAACTATTGCAACCAAGCTCAAAATGCAAAATGCGACACACAGTTCAGTTGCCAATGTACCATTATGTAGTTACAATTAAAAACAACCACACAAGTTATGATCAATTTGAAGGTAACAATTACCTTATCACACAGGTATACAGTAGTACCCCGAACTGCAGATTCCTGATCCAAAGCATTGCCGGGTCTAATAAAATGGCTCACATCTGCAATATGCACGCCAACCTTAAGCAGAAAATTAAAAAATGGCACAGGTCAAAGTAATCAGCTAATACAATAACACAACACAGCATTTATAGTGTTACTTTTCTTTCTCACAAAAAAAATACATATTGATATTGTAAGTTTTTTACTATGACACACATAATATAAAAAGCAAATAGACTTGTATCAGTATTGTATAAGACAGGATTGAACAAACATTACTACTGAGGTACCAAGTAAAAATGCAGTGGAAAGACAAATATACTAATGCAGTTTTTTTTCACTGTCCTATGTTAATGAACATGCACATTTTTTTAAATGAGGTAGTGATACCAGGACCCTCCAACACTTCCCTCATGAAAAGGAAAAAAAAAAAAAAAGTACCCCTAGTATTCTAAGTAATGTCACGTGAAATTCAAGCAAACCCTTACAAGAAAATCACTAACTAAGCTACAAATTATTGCAAACCAACAAAAACACATTTAGTAGTATGATGGGTGGTTTGCAATACATGCCTCATCATATATTCAGTTTCAAACACTCAGGTTCGTATCCAGAAAATGGAATCACTACAGGAGGAGTTCTGAACAACTTTTAGGAGATGATAGATAATGGCAGCCTCCATAATTTGCAGTTTTCTTCTCAAAGTCTTCCCATAACTAAGAATTTTCTAAATGGGTATGTTATGATGCAATATTGCTTACTGGAGCTATACAAGAAAAAAAACATACCAAACATCTCTAATCATAAATCAACAAACTGTGAGGAGCAGGTTGGGAGCCATAGCCTGCAGATCAACCCACTGCCACACTGGGCATGGCTGTGTGCTGTTCACAGCTAATATTACAATAGACAAAGTACAAAAGGTGTGAAATCATAGTAAGACACAGCAGTATGCTCATATTAGCTCTAAATTGGTGGTGTTTGGATTCAGATGCAGCAGTTCTATAACAAACAAGGAACTCACCTCCAGGTTACCATTTTCCAGCTCCCTGCAATGCAGTGCATCGTCAATGTCAGTACAGCCAGGTGGATCCACACTACACACACATAAATGTCTCAGATCAATTCTGTGCTTCATGTCCTAAGGATATAAAAAGTTTTTTCTAATATTAAACAGCTGTTAAACTACATAGATGACTTCTCTTTTAGCAATACTTTGCCCAACAGATACAAGTTTCTTCTACGAAAAAGACATTTGGCCAAAAAAAGTCTCACCTCTGGTGTAATGGACCAAGGCATCTTGGGTAAGAAGCTGAGAACAGCCTGTGAGAAAGGCTGATGAGGAACATCGTGTTCCAGAAGCAAGACCTCTGTCTCTGTCTCCTTATCCCCAGCTGTACCCAGGCTTTTTACAAAATGTCCCTAATGTGAAAAACAAAAACTATTAAAAAGATTCTTACTTCCCAGGAAACAAGCAGAAAAATATTATTAATTCCACAGGATCAACATCAAACATCTAAAAATTAAATACAGTATCTTGCTGATGCTTACTAAGGTGGTTCCATTATCTCACACAATTACGAGTTCTATTTTTTAATCCTTACCATACCAAAAGAACATATTTGAAAAAACACTATACTTGCACTTACATTAGGATATCGAGAGATTCTTGGCCAGCCATCAATAGCCACGATAATCCTCTGTCCCTCCAAAGTGGAGGATTGCCTGGTCTCTATGCGAATGCGAGGTATCCTCCGGTCAGCTGGTGTGAAGAGATGGCGAGTGGACTGCCACAGGAAAAAGATATAGAGAACGGTTTATAAAAAGATTAATATTTTTTTTCCCCTGTTTCCTGGTATTGACAGTATCACCTTTATTTATAAAACTGCTCACTTGTTTCCATACTTAGACAAAGGTGAAAATAAATTGAGTGAAATTGAATTTGCAGAGACATGATGCCAATTCATAAAAGAGTGTCTGCTCAGTTTATCATTTCTCATTGCTGATCATTTATGATACTCAATCTGCCAGAATTCATTATTTTCAATGGAGCAAAGGTGATGAAACTGCTAAAGGTGGTAAATTCTTTACTTTCCCAATATTTTTTTTTAGATTAACTCCATAGCATTAGCACGCATGTATCCTGTGTTGCTGTTACAAACCGACTCAGAACTGAACACTTCATTTTAAAGTGTATCTCAAGTTTTGGATAGAGTGGGGAAGGCTTAGACCATCTCAAGTTTTGTTGTTGTTTTTCCCAAACCTTTATTGATACTAATAACCATTGCCACAGAGAAAGAAAGTGAGATTCAATCCAAAGTTTTAAGCTGGCCATACACCCTACAACCATCGAACAACGTTCGTTGTGCGATGGTTGTAAGGGCATTAAAATTTCGTACGACCTGCCCATCTTGGACAGGCAGATCGTACTTGCGATCATCGCAAACCATCCCCGCTGAGGGGGGGGCTTGCCTATGATTGCAATGCTGAGCGGGCAGTATGCGCTTGCGCACACCGGCCTGTGCGGCTTTCGTCTTCCGAGCACGCTACCAACCCGCCGAAAATCGTATGATTTTCGGCAGGTTTTCCAGCCTTCTAGGAACACGAAAGTCCTGCGACCGTACAGTCGATGCGCTCGCATGCTGCCCATACACCTGCCGATTATCGTACGATCGTATGAAAATCGGCAGGTGTATGGGCACCTTTAGAGTTGCCCCCAGAACAAAAGGTCAGGCGAAATCAACGTAGACACCTGGTCAGGAAACAACCGTCTAATGCTGGCCATACACCTATCAATTTTTTTTCGTTCAACCAATGGGCTGAGTGAAAAAGAAATTACGCTTTTCCCCCCCATCAACACAAACAGCGTGTCAATCAAGGAATCACCGCTGTTTGCATTGTATTCCGACAGGTGTCACCGGCATCTGCCAGTATACCTGATCAGATCGGGCAACTCATTGGCTGCCGGCTCTAATCGTACGAAGATTTTCAAGCCGTCTCCTTCGATCAGCTGATCGAGGAATGCTGGCTGAAATGGAGCCGACAGCCCTACACACTGTGTGAATATCGGCCAGTACATTAAAAACCAGCCGAAATTCAGCCAGTGTATGGGTACCTTAAGAGGGGAATTCCCCTCACTTTGGGAGAGGTCCTCTAACTTCCTGTGGTGTCTTTGGCACAGAAAGTGAAGGGAAATTTCCACAATAGTACACATACAGCAAAAAATAACCCCTTGCTACTCTATCCAAAATAAAAAAAGGTTTTCGCTAAACATACACTTTAAGTCCTTATTGCCTATGTTCTATAGATATTGAAATAGGATCAACCAGTGTATCTTCAGAAAAGGTTTGAAAATTAATGCTTGGTGAAAATTATTGTTTTTACTACACGATCAGTACCAGTACTCTAACCAGAAATGTAGCACCCTGGCAAATATCTTAAAAATAACCTTGAGTGGAGTAAGCATAAGACTCCTAGGACTGTCGGTTACGTGACCTAAATCTCGCAGATGTCTGGGAAAGATGGTGATGTAATTACACAAACAAAAAAATTAGGTTTATGGAAAATCCTGTCTATCATTAATGGCTACAGACTATAATGGATAGGTGACATAAAATGACAGCATACTGTAAGTAGCACTTGTATGTGGAATAATTTAAATTAAAGTTTTCCCCCATGTTATCAGTGTGTGTTCTTTATTTCTTTCTTAATGCTTTTGCCTTGTATCCTAATCAAAGATCAGATCCAATGAAAGTAAAAGCGCCATTCCTCTTAAAATGATTCCGCTGCTAAATTAGGAAGTTTAAAATAAGGCCTCTATAAAAAAAAAAAAAAAACAAACAATTAATACTTAACCGTCTAGACAGGAGTGAGATGCTTGTTAGTGCTCTCTGGCAGTACAGAACAATCTTATAAATGCAAACAATGCTCAAAATCTAAATAATTTGCTTATAAAACCATTTATATGCAGCTTAAAGCGACTCTGTTAGAACCTTTATTAAAAGCTCTTACTGTTTTTATGAATACAGCACTGACCTCTTTAATCTGCGACTTTGACAACATGCCGCAATATGGTCTCCAGTTCCTTTTTATGATGCCTACTATTCTTCCGGATGGTTTTGCATTGCTCTTCTCCACATTTGTAAGCTGTAATGAACCATTGATGCACATCAGACATTAAACCACTGTACACACATGTAACTTTTATTTTTAAAAGCAGTTGCAACACAAGGACAGTATTTGCCCACAGCAGGATGAAAAGGTCTGAGTTTACCCTGCCTACAGCAATCTTCATCCTAGACACCCCTCCTGTTTAGAAAGCAGCACAGGATCAACTTTATTTTTTTTACTATTGGATATAAGTAGAACACTGCATTCATAAAATATCCAATGCCTAGGTTTGCCCCAACTAATGCTGTAGTGATTCCTTTTTGCTGATTATTTGTAAAACATGTAGATTGGCCATTTACTATTGGAAAATGAAGGTCTCAGCAATACAGCTACAGCTAAATATTCCATCTTTGGGCCCTAAATAGTTTTTAACCTTTTACAGATGGTGAATTTATCAGTGGTTCATCAATTCCTTTGAAAGTCCAGATGTGATCTATTTTGCACAAGTGACATCTTAGTCACCAAAGTTTGCTGTAAATACCACTGTATTTTCTCAACATTCTCAACATGCCAAATTCATAAATTAGGTTTATTAGAATATAGTCATGGTTTATAGGCGACAGATTAGTTAGGTCAGGAAATTGAAAAAAAAACAACTGCATAGTTCTCTTTAGGGTCATGGGAGGACATATACTAACATCCTCCCATGACCCAAAACTCAGTACATAGCGTGCTATAGCCCGCTATATGCTGAGAGCGCCGCAGCTGGGACGGATCCCGACAATATTGTCAATATCCACCCCGCTGGCTGATTGACAGCTGGCTCTGCCTCTTTAGAAGCAGAGCCAGCTATGCCCCGCCCCTCCCTCATCCATCCTTCCAACCAAAGCTGTATGATCAGAGAAGGGACGGGGGAATCTCTCGCGGGAGCGCTGACTGACATTCAGGGAGATGATCGGGGAATGAGCTTACTTTCCGATTAATAGAGTCGACGTGTGACAGTTTCAATGTCACACATCGGCTCTAACTATGGGGTGAGTGCAATTCACTCACTCCATAGTTTTCCTGTAAACATTTGTATTCAGGATGACAGTTAAGTCCCCATGGTTTGCTGAAAACCAACAGCTACTGCATTCGGTAGGATTTGATGGCATATAACTGATTTGTGTAATTATAAATGAACAGTATGAGGTACAAAGATTTTCAAACACAGGTTATAAAACTGGGTATTTCCTCTTAGTTAGAGGATATAAAAGGAACATTAAGGAAGTATTTTAATAAGCTTTGAAATTAAGTAGAAATATGGAAGATTTTAATACGATCAGCATTCAGAAAACTGCAACAAGATTTTATGGTAACCCTGTTAGTGCCTAAATAGCAGAAGTAACCAGTCACTTCAGATTGCATAAATACCTGCTCAATAGACTTAAAGTGACATTAAACCCTCAGATTTTTTAACATAAACCAATACTGTAATGTGTGCCTTACTGTAATCCATGATAGTTTGAACAAAAGGGTTTTGTTTCCAACTGGAGATCCGAACCCTCATTGATTACCCTTAATTCTGCTTGTCAACCAGATTTGTAACCCAAAATAGACCACGTAGAAAAAAGTTTAAACAGCAACAGGAGGGTAGCTGGTTACAGAGGTCAACATAGAACCGGGACAACCAGGATATATGCAAAAATGTATTATACAAAAACTGTAGAAATTAGGGCATAGCCATCAAAGGCTGACTACTATTAAAAACAAAGAAACATGGCATTCAATTAGTAAAATGGTAATGAGAGCACAACTGTCAATCAATCTATCATTAGGAGGTTTACTAATTGAAAACAACGGCACATGCAGGCAGCAGCTGTTGCCAATCTAAAGTGGGCGGGGATGTGGATGTCGGATGTCATCCTGTAGTCCTGGCTCAAGTCGGAAGCGCGCACACAGACACCATGTAACATTCCAGAGAAGAGGCAGTCAGCTGCAAAACGGAAGTTTTCCCCAGCATGAAAAGAGATACGGATTTAAAAGGAAGAGCAGCAAAAGAGAAGGGAAACAACCATGGATTACAGTAAGGCACACATTACAGTATTGGTTTATGTTAAAAAAAAACAATGGCCAATGTGTTTACTTGCAATAAAACATTAAATCTCAACCAACCTGGATCCAGCATGCAGTAATTGCAATAACACTTTTGTAGTGCTGCATGACGTTTGATAGTTAAAAAAAAAAAAAAGTGGAAACTTGACAACTTCTGTCGAGTAATATGTAGGATGTAACAAGCATAAAAAGGTGCATTTTGCCATTAGTGGTCATTAATAAAAACAAACACTGATAAAAGCTTTTCAATATAAATCAACTAAACAGTATACAATTATATAAACAGTGTAGTGCTATTGCATCAATAATTATTAATCCTTAGATCCCGTGCTGAAGGTTTTCATACTTTCATTCTTTATTAAACAGTATTCATGTTACCATAAAACAGAAATTCAAATGAGCTTCTTCTTCTATTCCTAAAAGGGCAAGATACCCTGTTTTCAATCTTACTATTCTTTGCGTGCTACACAAAACTATACAAATTGTTTGATTAAATACCATGTTTTCTTTTTCCTCTACGGATTCAATATCTTCACTTTCACCTTCATCTTGGAGGACCAGAGAGGATGGAGCCACCCAATTCTCTTTTTCCAAGAGCTGTACAGCGACAATGTCTTCATGCATTGCTCTATTTAAATTTCGCAAGCCTTGCAAGATTATCTGTAAACATTTGTAGAAATTATGTCATGCATCAGAATTGTGCATTGGAGTCACTTTCTTTCTGTCTGCTTTTACAACACATATGCTTTACACCTGCAGCTATTTCTGGAGTTTTCTACTTCCAGATGTTTTTTTACTTTGAATTTATAACACCTAAACAACACCCAATAAAACCTGGGACCTCTAGAGTGCCACAGAAAATGGGCATCACATACAATGCAGCTTGAAATAACATTTAATCCATCTCACACATTGTTCTGATTAGAATATGTTGTTCTATGCTGCTGCAAAGGGATTTTCAATATTCAACTCCCCATTGAAAGCAGTTAACGTGACAAGCTTCCATAAAGAAAAAAATATTATCTTTAGTAAACTAGAGTGGATGGAGTTTTGTGTAGAACAAGGTTTGTTGTTTTGTCTCCTATGTATTATACATGTGGCGATTTCATGACCATCCTGTATGCACAGATACTTGTTATTTGTAACTGTTCTGTTATCTATAAAAATAATAAAAGAAAAAGAAAAAAGCCCTATACTTTCAATATGGTACCACAACAGAACAGACATTCATTGCAGCATAACATAAAACAAAGGACTGCACAGAAACATAAGAAAAGCTGCAACACAATTAGAGCTGCAACAATGAATCGATTTAGTCGATTAAAATCGATCGAAAACGTTGTCACCGTTTTTGATAGTCGATTAGTCGGCTATTACATTGCCTGTTCACGGCTCCACACTCAAGCCCCGCACGCCACGGTCCAGCCCCCGGCTCCCCTCCAATTCCGGTGCTCCTCACATCTAGCCGGGCCGGTGCGATCGCATGACAGGTGCCAGGGATGCGAGCGCGATGGGTCTCAGCCGGGGGACGGAGACTATGGCTGGGGACGAGCTGCCATCCAGGCTGAACCGTTCAGCAGAAGACATGGAGGGAATGTTCAGACAGTAAGTGCCCCGAGCACCCTGGAGCCTGGGACGCAACACCGTGCACCCCAATCCACCATCATAACTGTCCTCTGCATCCCATTCCACCATCATACCCATCCTCTCCATCCCAACCCACCATCATACCGGTCCTCTGCACCCTATTCCACCATCATACCCGTCCTCTCTATTCCTACATCATACCCGTCCTCTCTATTCCTACATCATACCCGTCCTCTCTATTCCTGCATCATACCCGTCCTCTCTATTCCTGCATCATACCCGTCCTCTCTATTCCTGCATCATACCCGTCCCCTCCAATAACACCAGCTATGAAGGAATACATCAGATCCCAGCAATAGTACATTATAGTATAATTACTATTGGTGCGATTTGCTGTAGTACTCTTTAGCTGCTGGTATTCTGCATTGCGACGCTGTATGATTATTATTGCACACCACACTTTTTTTTACTTCCACCGTTCCAAGCTTGCTCCCGTGATGGACTGCAATCTCAATACAAACCAGTAGTCCATCACTGGGGCCTTTTTTTTAAATCCGATTAATCGAACTCAATAATCAGCTAACTAATCGATTATGAAAATAATCGTTAGCTGCAGCCCTAAACACAATACAACTATTTGTGTTTCCATGTAGGTTCCATTTTCTTGGTGAAATAGATAGAACAATGTACTGCACATGCAAGGAAATTAAAGCATATGGTTACCTCTTTTTGCTCTACCGAATCACTGTGGACCCAAACGGTTCCTTCTAAGAAGTTGTCCCGGCTTGCTCTGAATGTTCCTTGAAGGTAAATGCCAGATTTTATCCCTTGCTGTAACTTAGATAAAGGAAGATGCTCCGAAAAGATAATTTTACTACTTTCCACCTCATTCTGGGAAATAAAGTAAGGGGTTGTTAGTATTTTAAAAGCAAAAAAGATTTTAGAAAAGGAAATAAAAGCTCTGCAATCTGAAGAACATTAAAGTACTCTTAACATACTAAAGTTCTCATATGATACATCAGAAAGACACTAAAAAACATGTTTATTTACAATATTTTAAAATACAACCCATCACTGGCACATGTTATTTAAGGGTAATATAAAATGCAACATAAACAATGCAGAAGTGGACCTCTTAACAGATGCTAAACTAAAATATTGGTTGTTATCGGGCAAAGTAGTATAGACCATAGTATAGCTGCATCTTATTTAATGCCAAAACTTACTGGTAAGGCCAAATGAAAGCCAGATGCCAAAAAACACAATATTAAACGTCACAAGGGTATATGGCAAATAACATCTAAATAAGCAAATAATAATTCTAAATTATATACGTGATTGAGTCCTAGTCCAGGAAAGAAAATACATTGGTCAGTTAACTTTCCGGTTTAAAAGAAAATACTTGTGAATTTTACCTGTTCATCGGTAACTCTTGCAAGACGATCAACAAGTTCAGGATTAGCAAGCAAACTTTTTACATATTCTTCACCTTAAACAAAATAAAAATCCTTATTCATTTTGTAATACTGAAACAGGTTTGATTAGGCATCAGATAACCTAGTAATCATTTAAAAAGTGATATCAGCAAGAAAAAAAGTCCAAGAATTTACTATTACTATTTTGCCTTATTTGTTCGCTAATAAATACAATGCAATCAAGGATAAAACTTAAAGGAGAACTATGGGGTCAGTGTTTTCCCCCATAGTTCTCCTTAGGGTAACGGGAGTACACAAACTAGCGTCCTCCCGTTACCAGCTCGCGGTATACTGAAACGCCGCAGCCGGAGCGGATCCCGACGTAGATGACGGGATCCGCCCAGCTGCGTGACAGCTGGCTCTGCCTATCTAGAGGAAGAGACAGCTGTAGCCGCCCCCTCCCCCGTCCGTTCCGCCAGTCAGCGCTGGCAGATCGGAGCGGGGAGAGGGGAATCCAGCCCTCCCCGTCACGGCAGAGAGCCGTGACAGGATCGAGAGGTGAGCGAACCTGGTATGTGTTCGCTCACCTCCCGATCTACTGAGCCGACCTGTGACAGTCTCATTGTCACAGGTCGGCTAGAACTATGAGGCGAGTGTAAATCACTCATCTCATAGTTCTCCTTTAATTACACTTCACACAAAGACATAAATAATTAAAATCAGTTTTGGTAAAGAGAAATAAAGCCATTTCATCTTTTAGCTTTGGGTAGAATGGGAACAGTTTGGAGGACTTCTGTCATGTGTCCCCTTTGGGGAGATGCCCTTCTATTGTGTTCCCAGGAAAAGATGTGTCTTACTGCAGACATGTGTCAAGTGTCCTCACTGCGGAAATTTCCATACTTTGTGTTGCATCACAGCAATTGGGGTGGATCTTGCCAATGGAGGCACAAACATCAACACCAAAAAGAGGTTCGTTCTAACCCTTTATAGTCTAAAAACCCAGGAACATACATCTTTCCATTAAAATGAGGGGAGTGCAGACATGCTTCCACTCTCCATGTGCTACTATGTAGATACCTACAAATAGATGACAGTCTCATGAGTCTCTATGAGGATTTGCTGGACTATCAGCTGAGTTGCTTCGGGTCTCAGACCTAACTCTAGAGTTCAATTTTTTTTTCTTTTTATTAAATTTTGCATGTATAAGCAACAGTAAGCCAGTACAATTAAAAAATGCTATTATATTGTTCAGAGATATCATCAATATCGCAATATTACACATACATTCTTGCAATAAACAGTGGAGAGACGTGGGAGTGAAGAGAAGACAGTTGGATGTATACCAGGGGACACGCAGAAGGTACTGGAGTCCATAATAAAAACAGAGGAAAGAATGGATTATGGAGGTATACAATATGTAAGTCAATGACCCCAAACCCGATCAAAAAATTGTGGGCAGTCCCTATTCTCATAGGTGACTTCATACAAGTGCAGGATTTGCTCAGTGTTTTCCAGGTTCCCAGGGTTGGGGCAGCAGAGTTCCTCCAGGCTAGGATAGCCTTTTTGCCATTACACAGGGGCCCTTAGGATCTTGAGTAACCTGCAACTCATCAAGTATACCTAGAAGGCAGACCGTGGGGTTACAGATATTTAGGAAATCTTTCCAGAAAAACAGTTCTCTCTGACCACTACCCCCATATAAATTTACAGTTCCAAAAGGAGTGATAGAAGTCAGCTCAAATGCCACAGTGTTTAAAACAGAGCCATGAGGGCATACAGTCCAACTTATGGAGGGCTACTGGTAAATAACAAATTCGGTGGAAGAATTTGACCTGAATAATTTTATCCTAAAAAGGAGAACAGAGATTGCATATAGTGTTCCAGGAAATTTAAACTCCACTGAGAGGGTGGAACATAGTTTAAAAAGGACAGTTGTTAAAATCACTAACTATTGGAAAGCTGTTAATCTGAAAGAACTGGCAATCTTAAAATATGTGTCTGTGCCCATCCCCGCCACTACATCCTGCGGCAAAATAGAGGAAGATTTAATTGCACTGTGGGAGCAAAGCTGGTTTAAGCCAACTCAAAGTGGGCATGCTAAAGAGGAAAACAAATGAAAACATACAAGACTGGATTATTTTCATTCTTCTGCAAGTGCTAGAAAATGTCATGAACACTATGGGGCTGATGTATAAACTTACCGCTTAGCTCATAGTTGAGAGAATGCCCTTTGCACAGCATTCCCGTCAATAGAGCTAAGAAGCATAGTGAATTCCCATGCATCTAATGGCGGGAATGTCATACAAACAGCTTTGGCTCAGCTTTACGCCAGGCAGAATGTTTATACATGGTTTTTTTATTCATTAAAACACATTTGCATAGGTACATTATGTTATGTGCCAATTTAGAGACAAACAGTCGCTTCTTGTGCATACACAGTCAAATTTACCATAACAGAAAGTGAATAGCACAAGAATAGCAGACATCACATAATGTAATACTTACAGGTGTATGCTACAATTCCTTCTTCCACTCCTTTCTCTTTATTTTTCCGGTCATTTGTTATTAATAGCACTTGGAGGTTTTTGGTTTTTGACGATTTCTTTAAATGCTTATTGTACCATTTTGCAGCAGTTCGAATTGCCCTGTCGTTACGATCATTAGCATTCTCTCCTTTTTCTTGTTCTATGTAGGTCTCACTGTTATGTAATAAATTGTGCATTACTATAAAGTTTTTTTTATAGTATTTTTTTAAATAAACAGTCAAAAATAAAAAGTTAAGGAATAAAGAAACACTATCTGCAGGGGCTAATGGACATTTGCCATGTAGTTCCAAAAGGAACATCTTAGAGAAACCAGAGAAAAAAATCCACCTAAGTGAAGGATGCGCCAGTCAGACTCCTTGCTTCCTTTTATAAGACATTCAAGATGAAACCTGACTGGTCACCACTATTGGGAGGCAACTTTCAAACCTTTAGAACTTTGTTCACTTTTTATAAAAAGAACCCACTGTCTAAAGACACAGAAGGTAGCTATAAGAATACTAATAGCTGCTTTACATGCTAACTTGTTTTTTTAGCAAGTTCAAACTTCCCATGGATAGACCAGAATCCAGGCTAACATATAACTGACCATTGGTTCACATATAAAACTGAACTAGAGACTAACTTATGAATTTGATGCCAAAGTTGCTTTGTGTTTACCAAGGTGTTAAACCAATTATTTTACCTGATTACTGCTCAGACATTGATCAGGAGTACAGTCAGTCACAAGTCAAGTCAGCTTTTACGGCCAGAGAAGCCATATCTAAGAATAATTTGTATCACTAGAGCACACTCTGGCATGAACATGTATACATATGCATAGTTTGTGACTTCTAAAGTCATTGATTTTTCAGTATTGAATTTAGAGAACTACCAGTGTGCAGAGTTGTTCTTAAGTTACTGGTGATCTGTTGGGGAGCTGCAATCGAATTACAACACTTTTGTCCTACTTGTGATGTACTGGATATGTAGCCTGCAGTTATCTTGTATTGTCTATTTGGCAGTGAGCCAATTTGGATTGTTGTCCACTCTACTACTTCAACTGTCTAGTTTGGAGATGATTCTCGACTTAAAAAATAAGTAAATTTGGAAGGCTTGACATGCCAAGATGAAGTAACCCCAGTGAGCATAAGCAAAAGTTACATCATCGGGGCCCAGCCAATCAAGTGACTGAAGACTAGAAACCTGGATGAACATGGAAGCGTTGGTGAGAGGAGGACAGAGCGGGATGGGAGCACTTTGGTGGGGAAGTCTGCCATAATGTGCTAATATGCTGTGCACACTAGCACATTATGGCTAAAAGGGCCAGGGCCCAATATTTTTTTCAACCTGCTTTACTTCAACCTTTATTGCATTACATGGGTAATCCTTAATACTTACTGTATATAATATATATAGTACATATACAGGTGAAACTTGAATAATTAGAATATCGTGCAAAAGTAATTGCAGTAAGTGCTGCAGAAGGGGCCCAAACCAAGTACTGAGTACATATGCATGCTTGTACTTTTCAGAGGTCCGATATTGTTCTATGTACAATCCTTGTTTTATTGATTGCATGTAATATTCTACTTTTTTGAGGTTGTGGATTTGGGGTTTTCATGAGCTGTAAGCCATAATCATCACAATTATGACAAATCACGGCTTGAATTATCTTGCTTTGCATGTAATGAGTCTATCTCATATATTAGTTTCACCTTTTAAGTTGCATTAGTGAAATAAATGAACTTTGCACTATATTCTAATTATTCGAGTTTCACCTGTATGTGGTACCAGGTGACTTATTAAAACTACTGGGTAACACTCTATGAAGACAATATAAGCAGTTGTTTTATCTCGTGTTCTATAAGAACCTGCTCCCTGTATATGCAAATTCTTGTTTGTTCCAAAAAAGAATTAGGTTGTACTTTTTTTTTTTATTATTTACTAAGTGGCCCCTTAAAACAAAAGAAAAAGTGTTTACTTTAGTTGTGTATTTAAAAACCTACAACAGTCATAAAAGTGAACAGTGGTTCTCTTGCACCCTCTCCCCAAAGATAGCTTTGCCGCAGGACAGATGTACTTGCTGGCAAGCTGTGTTTTCTTTTTGCCGATGAAACTTTCAACAACTACAGTTCATGCTTTGAAAGATTTCTTCTCAAGTAGGTGTGCGTGTGTGTGTGTGTGACACATTAATGTAGCAGCATGACTGGATGAATCAGTGTGTTTCTAAAAGAATCAATTTTAGCGGCTGATATGTGAATTCAGCTGTAATATCTGGACTGTTACTCGAGGAAACCGTAATAAACTCTGCTATAGTTGATGTTTTGTGGAAAAAGGAATCTTGGTTACGTTTACCGATGGTGCTCATTGGTGAATGTATAGAAGTACTTCTCAGGGTTACTAGTCAGATCCCGGATTCGTTTGTATACTGGAGCACTGCGACTCCTCACTTCCTGGAGTACTGTCTGCAGTAAGATCACATTCTGAATGACTGGGTCTTCAAGGATGTCAACCTAAACAGAAAATACACAATGAGTTACAAAAAAATACTCCATTCGTCAAACAATTACATGCACATGGACAATGTAATTAGATCCAGACAGTTACTTTGTGCAATAAAACAGAGAATGTGTTACAGAGAACTCAATGTAAATTGTAGCAGCTCGACAAGTCTTTTTTCTTTATACAATACCTAGGAGGGGAAATTTATCTACCCAAACAATTTAGCATGGACAGAGGACGTGATTTCTCAGACAGAATTGATTTAGTGTATGGTAGTTGAAGAGTCAGTTAGCCATCTTAGCATATCAAAGCAATATGACCTCAAGGAGACAACACTGTTAACTGAAAACACCATCTTAATTACAATGTCTAGCACTTTCCTTTACAGTATACCAAATAGGAAGGCATGAAGATCATTTGTTAATGCCAACCTAAACAAGAAACAGTCCTGCAAATAACAGAACAGTTCACCCACTGGGCTGTACACAAACATTCAGTATGTTTGTTTGGGGCAGATTTGCATGAAGTACTTTTTCTCTTGGCACCTGCCTGTTTTATATATAGTGGCATGTGTTCCCTTAGACATTTTAGCTCTTATACCTGTACATCTCTTATAGACCCAAACAATTGTTAAATATATATCATACCTGATGAAGCAACACATTAGTGTCAGGCAATATATAGTGGGAATTTTCACAAAGAGAACTTTGCAGAATGGTTTCCTGACGCAGGACTGGGTTCTCCTGTTGACACTCTTCACAGCCCTGGCAACCACAGGTAATATCATCCCTCAAGTAATGTTCTCTGACAATTTTTAAAATTCCGCCTGAGCGTGTCTTCTTCACAAAAGTCTTTGATTTCAACATTTTCTTTTCGCCCTTTCTTCAGCTGCAAAAGGTATATGTATAGAAAAGTTAGGCATATACGAATTGTATATAGAATAAATTATATCAGCATAAAGATTCAATCTTGTAGTGAAAACTGTTAGACTGGTACTCCATTTTCAGTTCTTGACCAGTCATTTTAAACACACATATACTGTAGGGGAAAGCAAACAGCCAGCAGTATGGATTAGGGTTATGCCTTATCCTAAACCCATATTTACTATTGGTAACACAAGCAAATGTGTATAGTTCAGAATTAGAAAAGCGCGCAAAGAGCTGCAGTAAGTATTGGAGAAGAGAAGAGTGCATTTACTAATTGTCAGCCCTTTTAGATTTTAAGCTAGAGGTGAATCAACAACCTGCATGATTAACATAAAAATATTTTGATACTGCTGTGGCATCGGTCTTTCAGGACAATCCTATTGCTGCATGCAGCTTGTCTCTTTATTATTAAAATTAAAGTGGAAATGTGGGCAAAATATAAAACCACTCCTGAAGGTGCAGTGGAGATTGTTTGGGACCATCGCTAGTCCCACCCCAGCTACTGACTCATAGGACACCTTACTATGCGGTAAAGACATCATTCAGCTGGTCTCTTTCTTCTGGACAAAACTGTGAAAAGCCACTGTAGGGGAGCAGAGAAATTTTAAGAAACAGAGTTGGAATTCCCTTCACTGTGGATTTGTATGACTATTAAGGCCAGGTTCACAGCTGGGCGATCCGTGACCGTGCGGACACGGAGTTGCCCAACACCAACAATCGTGCTGACGGTACCATTATTCCGCCCATGTAACCGAACACAAATCGGGGCTAAAGCAGTCGTGCGTCGCAAAAAAAAAAAAAAAGAGATACATTTACCTTTGTTCTGTGATTGCCGTCTAGATGTAAAATACCATATAGTCACTCGCATTCCGTTAGTAGATAGCAATCTTCTTTATTGACTGAACATGATGTCACATACTCCAAGCGATGTTTCCTGGACCAGGCAGTCCCTTCTTCAGGCGAACAACAGTGTCGCACAGATGTAAGTCCATTGAAATCAATAGGGCCCCGTGGCAATCGCTGTGTGCAATTGTGCACAACATTGCAGTCCCGGATCACCCAGGTCTGTACCGGCCCTCAAGGTGCAATTTGACCTACTTGGTAACAAGGGGTCAAACTATTCTGGTGTGATTCTGGCGACCGCAGACCTGGCATGACACCAAGGACTTGTTTAATTCTGCATAGAAAAAGCCCTAGAGAAAAGCTAACTGTCTTTTGGTTATTAATGGTTTCATGAACCTCATGTGACTTATGCTCTGATGCACTTCCTGCACCTTATGGGATAGAATAACATATTATTTTGCAAGTATAAAACCGTTATGTATAGCACGTTGTTATTAATATTCTAGTCTAACCAAAAACATTTTCTGCCTCTTCTGTCCCCATCACTAAGCAAATAAGTGCTGTAGATGCTAAGCTTGTATGGCTGACAGCGTGCCCCTTCCCCTACCACTGTCTCACCACACTGCTCAGAAAAAGCAAATCTCTAAGAAGGTGTGATTGACAACAGTCACCTTTAGCAGAAAGCCCACAGTGGAGATGAGCGACATCACTCATCACAGCAGGTAGAGGGGAACCTTTCAGCATGGGCATCAGCATTGGATGGAACTGACAGCAGACACAACAACATAGTTTAATTGTATAACCATAGCACAGAACGGGACCAAGTGTTATATGCACTTGACCCCCTGGGGGATTCAACAATGATTTTAAGTTGGAGTGATACTTCTTTACCATCCGATTTGTAGCACATATATCAACACAGTATGGTAGTGTGGACAGGGTAAAGCCTAAATGTACTTTTAATACCATGTTTCATGTTACAACCCTATTAAGAGTGTAACATGAAACATGGTCACATCGCCACCCCCAACTTAACTGAATTGCAGGGTTCTTCTCCCCACAGGCTCCTTACAGTTTATTCATTTGGTTGAGCCAAGCACATTATCCACTTACAGATCCTTTGACAGGACCTGTGAATGGAGTGACTACAAGTCTGCCTGCCACCACAGGTATGGACAGGGACTGGAAAAAGAATCTACAAGGGCCAAGGTATTGCACCCACGATCCACTAATGACATTTGCAATGCTTTAATGGTTCGAAGGCAAAAAATAATAATATATGCATATTTGTTCTTGTTCGTATATGTGTCTGTAAGTATTTCTTTTAAAGGTGGCCTTTATCTTTAATTTGGCGCTGTAAGCAAACATTAAATATGACTTTCCATGGCATTAACACAGCACGTTTTGTTACAGAGCACGATGACAGTATTATAATAAGGTGATCACAGTCACACATATATCCAAAACAATGGCAATCATAGCTGACAGCGAGCTCCACAACACTTAGTCCATTACACAGCCCGCAGCACGATACAAAATAATCAGAAGACAATCAAAGAAACCTTCCTACCTCTCACGTTTTCCTCTCGGTAACCCAGACTGCACATGCGCAGAATCCACGTGTAGTAACAGGAAACACTCACTCTGCTATTCACCAATCAAAGGTAGTTAACATCACATCGAGGCGTGATCCGCAAACCCGGAAAAATTGGTTTGTCATGTGACCAGAACAGCCAATCGACGGTAGCTTTTATTCCTTGAACTTGGACTGACGAAGTTATTTAGAGGATAAGCATCTATGGACGAACGTGCCTTTAAAGCTCTCAAGTCCACCACTACCTTTGGGATTAAAATTTGTGAAATAACGCCATGATTTAACAGGTTGCCCGAGTAAAAGTCGGTGGGAGGGGGCTGGGCTCTGACGGACGCATGCGCAGTGGATGTAGTTTTGTGTTGCTATTGGTAGTGTAGGCGGTTGTAACAGCGCCAAAGAACATAGAAGGAGCCGGGTATGTACAGCTGGGCACAGAACCTCCTGTGTCCATTGAGTCGCTGCACTTTCCTCCCGAACTTTCTATCACTGTAGTACGATTCATTTAGAGCTAATGTCACTGAGAATTGGCAGCATTTAAAATGACTAATGTCATTTGAGGATGAGATGGGGTGCCACAGGTAGTCACGGACACCAATCCATGACAACTGGTGTCCATTGTGACAAGTCTCATTAACTGCTTTATAAGTGCTGCATTTAAAGTATATCTATTACCAAACGTTTCTTTCTTCTTAAATAGAGTAAAGCATTTGTAAACCTTTTTTTTATCGTGATCTGTGTTTCATTGTGGAGATTTTACTGGTCTTCCGGTGCTCCGCACACAACAGAAAGTGAGGGGAAATCTCCCAGAGTGAGGAAAACTAACAGTACAATCCGCGCCGTATTCGTTGGATTTGCCAGAACTATACCAAGGAAGGAGAAATGTAAACCATCCAGTCAGGCAGGGCTTTGCATCATATAGCTGATGGTAGATATAAAGGAGATTGTACAGTGAGATGGTGTAGTGTATGGCCAGCTTTAGGGCCCATTCAAACCAGGTGTGTTGGGCTGCACTGGGCAGTATTGCCCACTGCGATCACAACTCAAAGGCAAGGCAATGTGCCTTGTTTACAATCAGCGCAGCTCACACCATTGCATGGTGGGGGGGAGCTTTTTCTCAGCGCAGCATGTTGCAGTGCAATCACTGCACTGCTCCACACTGAGGCCGATAGAACTTATAAGGTCCTAACAAAAAAATAAGGTTACACTATGATGTGCTGTTTCATCAAATCCGCACCATAGCATTCACAGCAAACCAGTGCCTGGATTCTAATGCAGGAGGGGAGGGTGGGGGGTTAAGGGAGTGGGGGAGGTGGAAAGAAGAGGAGGGAAAGGAAAGAAAAAGGGAAGAAAAAAAAGTCCTCCAATAGGGTCACTTGTTACAATGACAACTGACTTAGGGCCCCTTAGACAGCTGTCATTGTAACAAGTGTTCCTATTGGAAGACTTCCCCTCTATATCGGTTCAGGTAGACATTTTGAACCTGTGGACACCAGGGCAGAGACGCTGAATCTCTCCTGCAGAGACACAGCAATAAAAACCTTACAGGTGTTCTAACCCCCTCACCACTCCATCCAAAACTAAAATAATGGATTTCCATATACTTTCAATTAGATGCTAGCCCTATCATTCATTTTGCTAAAGTATCATAAAAATGGCCATCTTTTACATCAAATACTTGGCCTATACATAACATAAATGGAACGTTTATTGTATTGCATAAAAAAAATACTTGTTTTCATCTAAATATTCAAAGTATCTTGTGCCAGTAAGTATATAGCTGCAAGCACTCCAAGTAACCACCTTGATGATACCTTTCCAGCAATCACCATACTATGTACCATGTGGCACACATTATAGTTCTTGTTTTCACCATTTTCCACTGTCAGTGCTGCTGATATGCTGCTCCCTCTTAGCAGCCACTTCATGTCTACATATATGTGCTCCAGCAATAGTTGCCCATTGTGATGTGTTTGATGATGATGGGTCATGCTTGAGCAGATGATAGTGCATGGGACAAGGTCACAACACAGGAGCACCATTGGAAGACACGTTCCTGGTCAGCAGTGTGTATGCAGCAGAGACTGATTAGCTCCTAGAGCCACCCCTTGCTCTGCCAGTTTCAGTGCTGCTGTGCAGGAGATTCCATAGGATGATATCCACATAGATTCATTTACTTATATTGGTTGCATTTATTCCAAATATATTGCTCTTATAGGCTATTATATAGGTCCCTTCTCACCATAACCTGTGTGGTTATACTGTCCTTTTGGGTCAGTACTACTCCATATCATATCTGTAAAAGATAAATCAAGGCAACTGAACTTGCTGTATTTTTCTTGGAAGAATTCTGAATTGAGAAAGCTGGTCGGATGACCAGCAAAATGTCTTCAAGAAAAATACAGCAAGTCCAGTTGCCTTGATTTTATTTTTTTTACAGATATGCCATGACCTGGATGAATGAGGAGCTTCATAAATACACTCCATAGAAGCCATGGTTTCCATACACTGCACTGATGATGGCCACAGATCCTGAAACAGCTGTGAGTTTGGAATAATTGGCTCTATAATATTAGGCTATGTTTGCACTATACACCAGCGGTTCTGGAATTGGCCAATGGGGTGCAAAGCAGTGGTTTGCATGACTCCGCCCACTGTCCTGAAATGAGGAATAATCCATTTCTTTTTGTGATAGAATGAGACATGAAAAACATCTCGGGTGACTTTTCTCAATTCTGTTGCATGGCAAAGCAGTGCTAAGCAGGAGCAGTGAGACAATTTGTGAGACCAGCTTATTACCGGGGTATAGTTCGAGTCATACATTCCTCCCACAGATGCTCTAAAAAGACCTGTGACAATAAAACCTGACCCTGACCACTTCTTTATTATGAGCCTGTTCAGAGTGATAATCTGCCACATCTTCAGAAATAAATCTGTCTTCAGAATTTTACAAACTGTCACACTTGGCTGCCCAGGAGTAGAGACACACACAGGTCTGTAAACCTGTCGCAGACAATTTTCTGCAGGAAAGGAAGGACCGATTTGTGACTAATTATGTTGCAAATTTGCTTGAGAAATGTCCCCCTTCTGTTTCAGTTAAAGAGACACTACACTCACTACAAGTGAGCTCACAAGTTCAATCTTAAAAATGCATTCTCAAGTACCTTTGAAGGGTTTCTAAACCCTCAAGTTTTTTGCATAAATCTACTGCTAGGAAGGAGTAGATATATGCAAAAAGTTTAAAAACAAAAACGCTTTAAAAGCGGTTTAAACTTACCGCTGTCTTTGCCGTGCGCTCCCGTCTGGAAATCCTAAACTGCCTTTGCCGGCCGCAAAGCATCTAGGGTCGTGCGCAATGCGCAGTTCGGATTTTCGGCCGGGAGACAAGGAGAGACGCAAGGTAAGTTTATGGGCGCGTGCACCCGCATGCAGACACTGTGGAACAGGAGGAGTCGGCGCTGGATCGGAGACCCGCCGCAGCGCTGGAGAGAAGGCTTAAAAGGACAGGATAGAAGAAGAAGATCGGATTAAGAGACATCATTTAAGGTAAGTGTTTTACGTAACATTGGGAGGGGGAAAAAAAATTTGACTTTAATGTCACTTTAACTATTAACAATAATGGACCTTATTTGTGTGTCACTCAGCTGTAGATCCTCAAATCATCTCTGAATTGGTGCTGACACCATCCTTCCTTCTGGAGGGTGGCTACTTTTGTTCCCCATGGTCCCTGTGTGTGTTGTAAAGTAGCCAACGCTCCAAGCTAGCTCCCATGATGGACTACAATCTCAATACAAATGAGTAAACTAAACATGAGATTGTAGTCAGGTTTGCACAATTGGTGGCTGACTAAATACTTTTTTGCCCCACTGTATAGCTGTAAAATAATTGCTTCCTGTTGAATAATATATATTTTGACATATTGTAGTCTTTTCTTTTTCAGTGTATATTTCCATTGGGCCTTTGTAAAGCTTAGAACATGTCAAGAAAAGCAGCCAAAAAAAAGAATATTTCCAGCTCACTGGAGTCTGAAGATATAAGTCTGGAAACAACCGTCCCCACAGATGAAATATCTTCTTCAGAAGAGCGCAATGGTTCCACTAAAGTCACCAGACAGCTGATTGAAAGGAAGGAACTCCTTCACAATCTCCAGCTGGTGAAGATAGAACTGTCTCAGAAGAATCTCATGATTGACAGTCTGAAAGGGGAATACCTGACTAAAGTGAGTTTCTAAGTTTGGTAGTAAGATATGTTTGTGTGAATCAGAGGTGTATCGAGGGGTTTCCAGAGGCTCGACTTTCTTCTTTGTTACACGTGCTTATATAATAAATGTCAAACAATATAATAATGACATTTGTGTGTTAGGGCAACAAAATCAAAAGCAACATTTCCATAAGGTATGAATTTTCTTGTAAGAGTGGTTGTAGACAGGCAGCGCTTTGACAGTGCTTTGTCCGGTAAATGAAGAGTGCAGTGTTTTTGGCCATTTCTGTATCTGCTAGTATCGGTGTCGATACCGAGTATTTGGGCGAGTACTCATACTCGCCCAAATACTCGACTCAATCGGGAAGCTGGGCGGGGAGTCATTACCCAGCTTCCTGATTGGCCAGAAAGCCGGCTCCATGCTTCCTCATCATCTTGTGACGAGGGAGCATGGACACAGCTTCTCGACAAATCAGGAAGCCGGGGGTGTGTGTAATGACTCGCCGACCAGCTTCCTGATTGGCCAGAAAGCCGGCTCCGTGCTGCCTCGTCACCTTGTGATGAAGGAGCATGGAGACGGCTTCCCGGCTAATCAGTAAGCTGGGCTGCAAGTAATTACACGCCGCCCAGCTTCCTAAATGGGACTTCCATTATTACTATCGGCGAGTACCAAAAAAAAAATAGGTACTCGATACTGAAAAACCAGTATCGGTATCTATAATGGATGATTGAAAACAAGCACATACAGTTGTACCCTGCAGATGATAAAGGATTCACAACAAACTCAATTACGCTTATATATTTAAAGTGACACTAAACTCAGGCTTTAAATCTTAAAAATCCGTTCAAGTATCTTAACTGTTAACATAAATGTATCTTATTTGTATATCACTCAACTAGTAGATCATCAAATCATCTCTGAATTGGTGCTGTCACCGTCCTTCCTTCTGGAGGGTGGCTACTTTTGTTCCCCATGGTCCCTGTGTGTGTTGTAAAGTAGCCACCGCTCCAAGATCACTCCCCTGATGGACTACAATCTCATATTTATTTACTTTTTGTACTGAGATTGTAGTCTACCACAGGAGTGAGCTTGGAGCGGTGGGCAGAAGGAAGGACAATGAATTCAGAGATGATTTGAGGATCTACAGCTGAGTAGAAATAAGATACATTTATGTTAATAGTTAGGGTACCTGAATGTACAGTATTTTTAAGATTTAACTCCTGAGTTTAGTGTCACTTTAATAACTTAGTAGTGTGGCATAAATCCTTTGCATCATCTGCCTCATATTGAAATCCTTGTACTATACTGGAGGAAGCATCTGAACCATAAAATAAAATATATTTGTGTGATGATGGACACGGCCATGCAGCAGGTCTTTTTAATTTTTTAAGTGTATCTGGGGCCAAAGAAAAAAATATATTACCAATCCTAAAATGTGGTGGATGCATGAGGGGTTTTTTTTAGACTCCTTTTTCCTTATTTCCATCGGCCAGTGAGCCTGTTTTTTGGGGTTTTTTATAACTTCCTTTAAAAGGAGAACTGCTTTTCACTCACCTCCATAGTTCTAGCCGACCTGTGACCAATGAGACTGTCAAAGGTCGGCTCAGTAGATCGGGAGGTGAGCGAACACATACCGGCGTATGCTCACCTCTCGATCCTGTCACGGCTCTCTGCCGTGACAGGGGAGGGGCTGGATTCCCCCCTCCCCGCTCCGATCCTCCAGCGCTGACTGGCGGAACGGGCGGGGGAGGGGGCGGGTACAGCTGGCTCTGCCTCTAGATAGGCAGAGCCAGCTGTCAGTCAGGCAGCTGGGCGGATCTCGACATCGATGTCGGGATCCGCTTCAGCTGCGGCGTCTCGGTATACCGCAAGCTAAAGCTCGCGGTATACTGAGCCTAGGATGACGGGAGGATGCTAGTTTGTGTCCTCCCGTTACCCTAAGGAGAACTATGGGGAAAAGCCCATTGTTCTCCTTTAACAGACCAAGATGTCCAGCAAAAGTGGCAGATTGTCTCAACCCTCTAACACTGACAGGGGTGTCTACAAAGATCAGCTTTTATTCATTTAAGTAAAACCTTTATCCCAAAAGAAAAAAACAAAACTGCCACTATAACAGCTTAAACATTATCAGCTGGAGTTCAGCTTTAACTTGTTAGTCAGGTCTATCTAACAGAGCTATTCACAAAGGGTGAAGAGTTTGGAGAAGGCAGGAGAAGCGAACAATCTAGGCCAAAGTGAGCTGAATTGGAGAATTCTTCCAAATCAGCCATGTTGTCCTAGATTGTTCACGTGTCCTGCCTCCTCCAAACTCTTCACCCTTTTGTGAATAACCCTGTACATCTTCTAGTCCATCTAAAGCTGGCCATACACTATGTTAATTTCATCCGGAAACGGGGATTCATTCATCATAGCTTATAAGCATTGATGGAGGAATCTGTTCTATTTTTTTCATGTACCCAGGGTTGAACGAAAAAAAATAGAACGATGTGTGGCCAGCTTAACACCGCACTCTCCACTGGGTGACAATGCTGCTGTGCAATGGGGGCTCCGTTGCTCCTCCATAGAGTGTAAGATTTGGTAATCTGCAATATATTACTCATTTTTTTAAGTTTCAATACACTTTAAGTATATTCATTTATAAACTGAAGGTATATTATTGTTGTTTTTTTTTGTTCATTTGTAAAAAAAAAAAAAACATTAAATGCATGACAATTGATTCCAGGATCTCTGTAACCTGCTTTCCTGTTTCCCTTTGTCTGACTAATCCGTCCATTAAGAGTCATTGGGATAAATGACTGATATTACTCATTCACTTATGTGTGATAATTGCAGCTTGAGCAATGGAGCCTGTAATCAACAAGATTTTTTTAATAGGCTATAAATACAGATAAAGATGTGAAAAAGCTCTACATGCATGCATGCATGCATGCATGATAAATAACTTCATATGCAAGGTTTAAATCTAAACACAAATACATATTCAGCACTTTATATTTATATTATGTTTATATTATATTTCATATGAAAACTGAAACAAAATCTGGTGCTTTCAAAATCCCTATATCAGAAGGGATTTGAAATCAATCAATAATGATTAAAAAGACTGAAATCAGATCAAACAACTGTGACATTCAGGGGTTCATCTCCAAGATCAGGGGATTTCCACAGTGCATAGTTCACAAACAAGGCAAGAGAGATAATTCCATAGCCTAATACCGCAGCAAACACTTACATTCAGGGTGGGCACAAAGCACCCCGTGTATCTCTGATTTTAAAAGGCAGTATTACTGTTGAAGACACATTATTTTGGACTTTTTAATCACTATATATTGATTTCAAATCCATTTTAATACAGAGATTTTGTGAGCACTTGATTTTGTTTGGTTATATTTCATATAAAATAAGTTTAGGAATAGGTACAGGTGTTTATGTTAAGATTTTATTGCGAATATTTTTAACCCGCTGCTCGTTTCACAGGTTCATTTGTTTTTGTATTTACATTGTCATTGCTTCTGATTTGTTATTGTTTTAACACATTTGAATAGTGCAGTGTTTGTTCTTGTATACAATGTTTCAAATTTACCTGACGGAAAAAAAAAAGTTTTTTTTTTAACTCCTGAACATAACAAAATGAGGAAAATATACACAATGTCATTAGACATGCAATATATATATATCAAGAGCAGTCCCAGAGTAAATGACAGCTTCAGAACACTACGACATTACTGCACATATTCGCAGCTTTAGCAATATATATATATATATATATAGTGCCGTGTATATAGTGCAATTTGTGTTGTATCTGGTCTGAGCATATTTTGTATATAACATTTCTGTTTCTCATCACTAGATGGCGTCCTTTACTAAAACGCTGCTAGCTAAAGGTGAATCTGTCTTAGTAAGTGAATGAACAAACATGGTACTCTTCTGGAAAGATTCTCTCTGTAACATTTTAGATCAGTGTAAGCAACCTCGGCACTTCAGCTGTTGTGGAACTAACCCGAAGTACCATGAAGCATGGCAAGACTGTGGTATTTGTCGTTTCCGCACATCTGGAGTGCCGAGGTTGCCTACCCCTGTTCTAGATAAACAACTTTTATTGTGTAGGAAGATGTTTTGCTGCTAATGCCACATTTTATGCCAAGCACTGAATGATCGTTAGATAAATACTGTGAATGCAGCATATCGATTAACATGGTTAAACTCTTACCCGGTATTCATTTCAAAGGAATGGTGTATTGATCTTTGATGTTCTGGGTCTTTTTTTTTCTACAGCTTACAAAATCCAGAGCCACATTAAACTTATATTGGCATTCATTTTTTTGTAGATTGAAGAGCTTGAAGAGAAACTAAACGATACCGTTCATCAGAAACAAATCCTAGCTCTAAAACTTGACACCCAGACCAAAATCCAGCAGGAGGATGCCAGGTAGGACATTGTGCTAGGAATGTTTCATGGTATTCGGGGCCTGCAGTCAGAACAAATATTTTGATGGCTTTTTACTTAAAAGGCCTGAAACATCATGGCTGGGAAAACTACAGAGAGAAAGCAACTTTGCGTAACATATATTATTTTAAAGCGCTGCGCAAAATGTTGGCGCTATATAAATACTATGTAATAATAATAATATATGTGTGCTAATTACATAGACTGTATTAACTATGTGAGCGTTTCTTAATATTTTAAAGAAGAACTCCAGGATTTTATTTATTGACCTTTGCAGTGGATCTACCCCTACACTGCAAGGGTTAAATGGTTATTAAACCCTCACTTTTTTGCATACATCTACTGCTAGCAATCAGTAGATATATACAAAAACTTTATAAAAAAAACAAAAAACCTTTTGAAACAGGTTTAAACTTACCTTTGTCTTCGCCACGCGCTCTTGTCCGAACATCTGAAAAGTCTCTGGCGGCCGCAAAGGAGGTTGGGGCGGGCGCATGCGCAGTTCAGATCGGCCGGGAGACGAGGTGAGACACAAGGTAAGTCTATGGAGCAGCGTGCACCTGCACAGACTTCGTGGGACATCAGAGGAGAGGAGGACAGAGGAGTCAGTGCTGGATCGGAGACCCGCACCAGCGCTGGAGGGACAGCTGAAAACGACAGAAAGGAAGAAGATGATCGGACTAAGAGGCATGATTTAAGGTAAGTCCTTACACTAACATTGGGGGGAGGGGGAAAAAATATCCTTTAATGTCACTTTTAGTACTCAGTGTCTAAGTGCTAAAATAACAAAGATATACTCACCCGAAGCTCCGAGCCAGCCAGCCAGCTGTCACATCACTTCTTCCATCCCGCTCCCTGCATCATTGAAATCTTTCCCAGCATCCTCATGTCTATACACTGCGTATAGACGTTGATGATTTACGGGACCTTAGACCGATGCAGAGGAGGGAAGAGATTGGTATATTTGTCTGTGACGCTGTTCTTCACAATAAATTTGTGAGACTAAATTAAATGTCTGGAGTACTGGTGACTTTGTATCCATTATCTTGGTTTGGCGCTGTGCCAACTAAAGCGAACAATTCTAGCACCTACCAATTACTTGAATGTCTGGTACTGTCCTTCATATATGAACTAATTCATGTTCCTTAACCGCTTAAGGACCGCCCACCGTCAAAAAATGTCCTGTCCTGACCTAGGTATACCAAAAACATGGGTGCAGCCAAGTTCTCGGTAGCATTTTAATTACTGTTTAGATACAAGCCAGCAATTGCTGTTTAGATACAAGTGACCCGGCGTCAATACAGCAGCCAAACCGCTTGTGCAGTGGGATGCGTTCCCCCCCATGCGTCCCCCCCACCGCTGGCTTTCCCGGGCTCTGCTGTCCCCCGTGGCCTGCACAGCATGTCTCCCCTGACAGATCGGAGGGAGATCAGCAAGCTTTCTCCAATCACTAGACCCGGAACTGATGTGTATTACATCACTTCCGGTGTCACTGTGTCACAAGTTAAGTGTAAAAAAAAAAAAGTAACATATAAAAATATTTTAAAAATGCTTAATACATTTTTTAAAGTCCCCCGCCCCCCACGTGCACGCAGATACAACGCAAACAAGCGTCGGGTGCGCCTGCATGCAAAACAGAAAATTGCGCCAGTCATGTTGCATATTGCCGTGAATGTCTGAGTGAGAACAATAATTGCAGAGCCATTAATCACTGCTTACACTGAAATGAGTAGCAGTAAAAGCTTTTAAAGCGTCACCTAAGGGAAATTTTGGGTATTGCAGTTTTTTGCAGTTTCACAGGCGCACACAATTTTAATACTTGACGTGTTTGGTATCTATTTACCCGACGTGACCCCATCTTTTATATTTTACGAAAAACATTGAGTATTATATTATGTTTCTGTGCACTAAATTTAGTTTTAGTGTATTTTATCCTTAAAATACTGGTTTAATAAACATTTGTGCAAATACCGTGCGACATAAAAAATTGTAACTAGCATTTTTTTTTATTGTACAGGACCTCTGCTTTCAGAAAATATATCTTTTTTGGGGGGCCTAAAGCTGTTTTCTAGCCAAAAATTCTAATTTTAGCATGTGTGTGCAAATAGTAAGAAATTGCTCCGGACAGCAAGTGGTTAAAGAACTCCCAGGATTTTTTTAATTAACCCTTGCAGTGGGGTTACCATCGCACTGCAAGCGTTAAGCTCTTGTTTGTGTCTAGGTGCTGAAATAACAGTTATACTCACCCACAGCCCCGAGCCAGCCAGCTGTCACGGCACTCCCTGCATCTCTGCATTGAGCATTTTGTGGTGCTTACCTTGGAGTGATTAACTGCCTAGGTGTGAATGGAGACTAACTGATCTCTTTTGGCTTTCAAACAATCTGCATTTGGGCTTCCAGTAGGCCAAATTATTAACTTAGGAAACACAGGAGTGCAACTATCGCCGTTTCACAGCTGATCTGGCTTTTCCAAATATGAGGAGTAACACGAGAGAAATGTCAACCCCTTTTACTAGTATTCCAGTGCTTCTTTCATGTGACCCAATGTGCTCAGTTAGTTTAATTGATAACCTGGTAATAACCCATTTGTTAGCATCTCAGTCTAAGGCTGGCCATACACTACTCTATTTTTCGTATTCAATCCGCGGGCTGAACGAAAAAAAAAAGAATAGAGCATATTCCTCCATCAACACTACGAGTTTGTTGATCAAGGAATCACCGCTGTTTGCATTGTATTCTGACAGCGGTCAGAATACCCGACCAGAGCCAGCAGCTCATTGGCTGCCGGCTCTGTTCGTACGAAGATTTTCCGACTGGCTACTTTGATCAAGGGATGCCAGCTAAAAGAGTGCTGAATTTCGCACAGTGTATGGCCACCCTAAGAATCTTTCACGTGCCATGAAATTGGATAATACACGTGTGCTAATAGCCCATTACACCTCGGACACAAACTTGTATGTAAAATGTTTTTAGTAATTAGTAGAGAAAATCCATGTGGGTGGTTTGTGAATTGTATAATGTTTTTTTCTGTGAACTTGGCGTTCTAGTATTTTCCTTTCTAATAAATGGCAACATTTGTTTAATTTGTAGGAATTTCCCTGTGAGAATAATAATTATTTCTCATTTACTGTTTTCCTTTGTTTAGGTTTTAAGTAAATAATGCTTGCCTGGTATATTTTAGTTGTTGTGTAAAGTGTGTTTAACTCTTTTGAGGTCATTGATGCCTACATGTCCAGGTCAAATTGAGCCGCAGCAGTATGCGTCGGTTAACATGACAGGATTTCTTTGGCTAACCTGCATACCAAAATCATTTTGATACATTTTTACGGACACATACGGCTCTTATTTAGTGCATTATTTTCATAAAACCATGCTTGTGGTTTTCTTTATTATTATAGACTGACAAATGCATAAAACTGTTAAAAAGCAAAAAAAAAAAAAGTTTCGGCTGGATATACCCTTTAAAGGAAATCCCATTCCTGATATACAGTAATAAATGTATTTCCTGTCACTTTTCCTTTTTCCAGATATTTTACATGCATTGCCATTAATAATCAAAATAAATGTTTTTTTCTTTATTTTTTTTTAGCTTTGGATGGATTAGGGAAGGATTAGAACTCCTATCGATTTTAATTGCTATCCAGATTTCCCTTCCCTGACAATAGTTTCACCAGACAGGGAGTGAGAGAAAATCTACAGGAAAACAGACAGAAATGATTATTATTGCTGTTGATTTTTTTGTTGCTCCTTTCATGCCTGCCAATGACGGTATCAGAACAGTAAGGGGATGATTTATAAAGCTTTTGGCAAGCCATACACTGGGGGGTAATGCTGTTTGCATGACATTTACACCACTAGATGGAGCCGTGGAGCATAGGAATTTCTTATGTCCAAGTCTAACTAAAAAGAAAAAAAATATTGACTGGTCTTTAAAAGTCAACTATGGCCAAACCAAATATTGCCGGGATCCTCCTGGCTGCCTGTTAGCTGGCTGTGCCTCTCTAGAGCTAGAGCCTGCTGTGCCCATCCCCCCCGTCACTAATCTCTGCAGGGAGAAGATCATGAATTGAGCGATCAGTGGTTTGTGTTCGCTCAGTTCTTGGTCTATAGATTGTGTGACAGCTTCAGTGTCGCACCTCGGCTCTAACTGATGAGTGTATTTTCACTCTCCCCATAATTCTCCTTTTTAAAATGCTGCATATATAGTTTAGTTTTCTGATGCCTATCTGAATTACTTTCCTATAATAACTGGATAGCAGCTCAAACTTTGGTAATCTTTGTCAATATACTTTACATAAATATTTATTGAATGGAATTTTCTACTACTATTGGGCAGAATATAATGGAAAAAAATGATGTCATCACACTGAGCTATGCGATAGTAGCACACGGCATCACATTATAAACTGCCTGTTAAAATGCTTGTTTTTTTAAACACATAGGTGTGAAGGCACCCCTCCTTTGTCGATGTGGTATGTATTCTTTAGAAGCAGCTGCATAATTTAGAGCGATATACCATGAATAAAATAAACAAAGAAAAGGAGCGCCTCGCATACACCTGTAGCCTCCAGTTACTGATGACTTTAAGCTGTTATTAGTCACTTCAAGCAGTCCTCCAAAAAAAGAAATCATTTGTGACTGTTCAAAGTACTGGAAACTATCCTAAAGGTCAAAGGAGGCCTCAGGGTAGGATTAGACTTTCAGTTAACATGGAAACACTTTGGTGTCCTTGGTCCCCCTTGTGATGAACTTCAGTCAATGGTCAGGCAAGAAGTCAGGCTTGGGCTGCTCATCTTGTTGCTTCTATGACTTCCTAGGGTAAGCTACTTAACGATAATGATAATTGGGACATTATTTTTGTTTGCCTTTCCAATTTTCAACGCTGTTTTTACATCTCACGAGAATCTGTTCCAGTGTCTAATACTGGCCATACACCTCTAGATTTTCTGCTGATGTTCTATGGTCAGATGGAAAAAACAGATTCCTCCTTCTACTCCATCTGGGAAAAATGAAAAAAAGCTCTGGTCTGAGGTGGTTAAACAAATGAATGTCATTGCCAACTTGCATGAGGCCCTATCCTGCCTGTACAGGACAAAATGAGGGTTCTTTCACATGGGGGTGGGG